CCCCCGCGTCCTCCGGGTTTTTCCCCTCCACCATTATAAACATGCGCTTAAGTATATTTTCGCTGCTCTAAATGTCAACGTGAAACACCATTTCGTTGAGCTATTATTCGAGGTCAGGTCGCTTCTGAAAAAATAGTTTTAATATATAACAGAACCGCAGAGCTTGGACAATTGTTGGAGCCGACTCACCGCGTGGCTGCCTTCCTGCTCGTCTGTGGCTCCTCGCGCTTTTGAGTCGTTCTCTCTCGCTTCGAGAGCGAGCTGAAGACGGCCCCAAGGGGCGACCATCATGTGCGCGACAGCTTGCCTGGTGGTCAGCAGAGGGCAGTGCAGTAGAAAACCTCTGCTGTGCTCCTATAGTCCCAGGTGTATAGCCCCGCCACCACCCTTCACTGAATTCGTAATGGCCCTCGTGGTGAAATATGGTCAAATTACCCACATGGCATGATGGAGATTTCATCCAGCAGTACATATTGACATAACGGGCTCTACAGTGTTTGTTTGTTACGACTATATTTACCCAAGAATGTCAGTGTGGAACGCGCGTGACATCACTCCACGTCGACCAGCCCCCCTCATTAATAATCATGAACAGGTTACGTCCTCCACAATGACCCGCTCCTAATTATATATCATGAGCGGGTGATGTCACTCCGCATGGAGAACCCCTCCATTAATAATCATGAGCAGGTAACGTCACTCCACATCGAACAGCCCCCCTCATTAATAATCATGAACAGGTGACGTCACTCCACATCGGACAGCCCCCCCTCATGAATAACCATGAGCAGGTGACGTCACTCCACATCGAACAGCCCCCCTCATTAATAATCATGAACAGGTGACGTCCTCCGAATGGACACCCCCCTCACCATTAATAATAATTAGCGAGTGACGTCACTCCACATGGGGGGGGGGGGGCGAGGCGCCTCCTCCCCCCTCCTCAGCGTCAACTTACACAACCCTCACTACAAAGGCAGAACACTCACGTCACACGATCTCCGTAACGCTATTGAGACATCGAAGTAAAAAGGACGTCATGATGAACAAGGGATTATAACCTTTAATGAAATAAGTCTGTGTCACCGCGGCCTTATAAATTGCACACAAATGAATGCAATGGATATCACGCCGCGGTCTGCTTTCCGCTTGCAAGTTTCAGATTTACTGCGATACACCCGTCATTGGACGGGCAAGAGGCTAGTTATGGTAAGAGCACTCGACTCGCAATGGGAAGGTTGAATGTTCAACTTCCAGGTTGGTGATTGACTCAGTCCGTTGTCATTATCAACAGCACCATCACAGGAGTGAAAAACGGGGTGCCAATTTGGTGTGGAATTTAGGAGTCGTCTTCCAATGGGTATTCTTGACAAAGCTCTAAGGAATGTGGAATTTCCAGAGACTCGTGGCCCATGAAGGGGGGATGAGTGCTGCTGCAAGCATTGCTCGATCTGTTAGACACATTGACTTAAAATAATAGTGATGATGATGATATTCTTTGGGTCTTTCGTTAAAGTCACGTAGATAGGTTCAAAGAAAATTACAAAAAACTACGAAGTTTCGATCGCAACACAAGCGATCGTCTTCAGCAAAAGGGGGTTTAGCTGCTAAAGGCAAACTGTTTATAAAGGTTTAAAATGGGCGTAGCCCAAATGTCAGCAGCATGGGCGGGGCAGCTGATGTTAATGCAAGAGGTGGGCGGCGACCGTGACGTTAGTGGGTTTTCCACCAATTAAAGGGCTGCCAAGTAAAAATTAGCATGTTAATGTAAGGTCGGTGAGTGGCCTCCATGACGAGTGCGCTGAGGTGGCTATGTTAATGGGGGAGATTAGCATGTTAATGGAAGATCGGTGAGCAGCCTCCATGACGAGTGCGCTGAGGTGGCTATGTTAATGGCAGAGATTAGCATGTTAATGTAAGATCGGTGAGCAGCCTCCATGACGAGTGCGCTGAGGTGGCTATGTTAATGGGGGAGATTAGCATGTTAATGTAAGATCGGTGAGCGGCCTCCATGACTAGCGCACTGAGGTGGCTATGTTAATGGGGGAGATTAGCATGTTAATGTAAGATCGGTGAGCGGCCTCCATGACGAGTGCGCTGAGGTGGCTATGTTAATGGCAGAGATTAGCATGTTAATGTAAGATCGGTGAGCAGCCTCCATGACGAGTGCGCTGAGGTGGCTATGTTAATGGGGGAGATTAGCATGTTAATGTAAGATCGGTGAGCGGCCTCCATGACTAGCGCACTGAGGTGGCTATGTTAATGGGGGAGATTAGCATGTTAATGTAAGATCGGTGAGCGGCCTCCATGACGAGTGCGCTGAGGTGGCTATGTTAATGGCAGAGATTAGCATGTTAATGGAAGATCGCAGAGCTGCAACCTCTCGGTCAGCACGCGATGATAGCTGTGTAAGTGTGAGAAATTTAACTTGTTAATGTAAAATCGGAGAGCTGAAAATAACAACTAACATCGGAAGGTGGTAGGTTGGGAACATCACAGGCAGTTATGACAAACTGGATTTTTCGATTTAAAGCTTTCGTGACTGCAGGAATTTATCTTCTTGGTTCTTTCGGTAAAGTCACGTAGAAGGGAAATAATAAAAATAAAACATAATAAAATACAATTCTCACGACGTTTCGGCCAAAACGCAAGCAGCCGTCCTCAGGTGAAGAACAGGTCTGTCGGAAAGACAGCGTCTGAATAATGGTTGATAATGTCCTTCTTCGATTGGTGGAAAACACACCACCATCGCGGTCGCCGCCCACTTCTTACATCAACCTCAGCTATCCCGCCCATGCTGCTGACACTTGGGCTATGCCCATTTTAAACCTTTATAAACAGTTTGCCCTTAGAAGCTAACCCCCTATTCCTGATGACGACCGCGTGTGTTGCGATCGAAACGTCGTAGTTTATTTGTTATTATCTTTGAACCTATCTCCACGACTTTACCGAAAGACCCAAAGAATATGAATTCCTGCAGTCACAAAAGCTTTAAGTCAAGATTTAATGATGATGATGAAATGAATAATCATCATCGACAGCAGTAGCAGCTGCATTGTCAATGAAAATCATTATTATTCACAATTACGATCAATTGGTCAATCATCATCATCACCACTATAGGGTATAACCATGATTCATAACTATGCTAACAAATGAGTGCCACTTATTACGTGGGAATTTTATTATAAATTGGGCCAACCATTCAACGCAGCAGGATGCTCCTGACAAAATATATTTCTTCAAGAGTACAAACACAATCAATCCAGTTTTTTGTATAATTTTCATCAAATGCTTACGAGCATTATTAAAAAAACAACTCGCCATTGAGAATGTACAAACATTGAAATAACCCAATCATTCATACGCTCAAAAGTCGCGAGCTCACTTTTCACGGCACTCTTCACAAGACGTTCATTTTTCTTGGCCAAGAAAGAAACGGGTGGAGGGGGGAAAAAAACTATAAAACAAACTTTGTCTTTTTTTACTTTACTGGAAGTTACGTGAAAAATAGCGGGGTGAGTTCAGGCTCACGGGAGGTTTTTTTTTCTTTCAAAACGACTTTCCACCCCGCACGCTTGAATTATTGGATATGCTTGAACTGTGCACAGTAGCTTCTGGAAAGAAAGAAATGGAACGGTTTTGATTTATCCGATCTAATTTTTTTTCCTCTCTTGACATGAAAAATTTCACTCAACGAGCTCTGCGTGCAGGCTTTAACTTTTACACACGTGGGCGGAGGCCTTCATCCAGCAGTGGATTGACAAAAGGCACGCATTGGTATGTATGTTGAACTTCTTTCGCACCGCACGTAGCCAACCGTGCTTATCGGAAGTGTCGAGGAAGGACAACAAACTAAACACAAAACGCAGTTTTAACCTGTTCGCATTGCTCGCGATTGAGTCGTAGTGCGCTCGTGAGAACGTAAGAAAGGAATATTTGGGGGCGATTGTCCTGCTTTAAACAACTGGCGAAGTGACCGGCATTCAACTCATATTCATTACAGCCCTGAGCCAGCACTTTGGAAATTCCACATTACTGTGACGGGAGTTGATGCGACGCATTCACGGCAACCGCCGCTGACTTCCCACAAAAGCGGTACTCATTTTGGCTACAAAGACAAAGATTCCCCGTATAGCCGTAGCAGCAGACTTTTTGGGGCAAGTGCCGTTAGCGAGCACCTCTGAAGGCCGGCACGGTATCCAGAGGGGGTGGGTGGCCAGCACTACGCCTCACCACATTTGTTGTCTTCCCAGCTCACTATATTTACACACAACACAAGGTACTCATTTGAGACTGAGTCGACCTAGGGGATGCCCAGGATCGGTTCAGACAATCGTAACTGGTGTTGCCCCCCCCCCACCACCCCACCCCCGACGTGAGGAACTTAACAACTGAGTCAAACCACAATTGGGATGTGAACTCGTCATCTTGTGATCGAGTCACGCGCTGCTGCTGCTGTGCCACTCGGTGCGTCTAGAACAAGTCGGCACTCTATAATACGAAAATGCGTGCAGAGTTCAGATCACACGTTTTCTGAACCAAAGAGAATTGTGCTGGCCTCGGGCCCAGATTGAACTTGAGTCGCGTGACTGCTTTACGGCAAGCGGCATCTGTCCATTAACTCCCTATACAGCTCGACGTCTGTGCCACCCCCCCCCCCCCCCGCAAAAGCGAACATTATTAGCATGACCACCGCATTCACGCAGCCACCTCAAAGTAATCTGACACAGCAACCCGGCCATCATAGCACCCATCTACACAGGCAACACAGTGCCCAGTCACACAGTTAACACTGTGCCCATCCACCCAGCCACTCAATACCAAGACATCTACTCCAGCCAATACAGCATCCAGCCAATGCATGACCCATCTACCAAGTCAACACATCGACCATCCACCGAGACAAAACAGGACCCATCTATCCAGCCAACACATCACCGATCGACCCAACAAATGACCCATCCACATGGCTACCACATCAACCAGCCAAAACATTCACCCGTCAACTCACCCAGCCAACACGTCACGTTATCCAGCCAAAACAGCACCCACCCAACCAACACAGCACCCAGCCAACCAGCACAACACCCATCCACATAAGCAGTCGTCCGCAGAGTGTCCATCGCTGCGTCTTACCGTGTTTTATTGGTACAAGTGCAGAATACAAAAATTAAATACTCAAAACATTTGTATAAACTGAAAATGCCTTTTTTTTGTTATAAGCAATGCTTACATTTTCGTAGTGTCAATACAAAATAAACCCAAGACACGAAACAAAAATATAACGGAGAGAACCAAAAAAAAAACTAAAAAGTAGAACGGGGTTACGTTGTATGTACAGCAGCTGAGAGCCGATGCCGTCGGCGCCACCACCGCGGTTGTGATATTATGATTTCGTTTCGTGTCTTCAGATGGGGGGGGGGGCACATACGGGGCATGCATTTCGAATCTCGTTTCGGACCCAACGTGCCCCACGGCAAAGGTTCCAGCTCACGCAGGGTGCTCACCCTCCTCGGACGGACGGAGGTTTGCGTGACGGTGTGGAGAGCACCCCCACCCCCCCAAACCCTGTCCGGGGCGACCGCTTCCTCGCGTAGACGCTGGCCGAACGGACTCAGCTTGAGCGGGTCCCCGTCTGGAGGGCATTGCGTGTGCGTGGACATCGTGATTATTACCCGCAATAATAATGATGATGATGATGAAGAAACATAAATCCCACAAACGGGAGTCCGTTCTTGTTGTTGTTGTTGTTTTGTAACCGATTTGGCAGGAAACCTCCCGCCAGTATATTGGTCGTTGTTATTTACTCATTAAATACAGGTTTCATTTTTTTGTAAGGGTTTAACTTGTATTATTTTATTTTTCATAAAAAAAAATTTTACACGGGATGTCAGCTGCATGTGTTTTGTTTAGGGGGGGGAGGGGGGGGATGGAGTTTGTACAGGGCTTGGGAAATAAAAGTCGCGAGAAGCCTCTTCCATCAGTAGTGGCCGGTGGCGTTTGTTAGCGGTGACTCACAGAGACGTGCGGACCCCCCGCTCGTGGTGTCATCGCGCGTGCCCACCAACGCCGCCACCACCCACCCCCCACTACCCACCACCCCCCACGTAAGAGCGGTCAGAGTTAGCAGAGCGGCTACGATGTTGGGGTCATCATCACACGCGCACGTCCCAATCGCGTCACCGGCAATCGTCGTCGTCGTCATAACAAAGAGAGGGGGAACGACAACAAACAGAAATTCAGGTGAACCAGCACCATTTACGATTGCCTCTTCAAATCCGAGAGTTTCATTTTTTGTAATAATTATAATATTTTCTTAAACAAAATTAATTTCTTTCTTTTTTTTACAAGCGTTCGATTTTTTGAGCGTCTAATTTTCATTTTTTACATTTTTCTAAAACTGCTCAAACGTGGCGGTTTTCAACACTTCCAGTTTTTTTTTGTTTTTTTTACTCTTTGATAACAACAATAGCAATAGTAGTATTAGTAGTAATCATCATCATTAATCATCATCTCCGCAATAAATCATCAAGCGTCGTCATCCTCAACGGGGCTAGAATTTCAGCCGGGCTTTTTCCGTATCAGCAGCCTCCTCCCCCGCCCTCGCGCCAACAAAACATTTAACCGCACCCGGCACACCACATCAAGTATGCCCCATCACTACCTAGCCACGTGCTTCAAGTCCACCAGTGACTGAGAAAAAAAAATATTCAGTTGGGAAATTCAAGCCCCCGAAACATCATCATCATCTCCACCGTCGTCATCTTCGTCGCAATAAATCAACAGGTCGTCAAGTGGTCGGGGACGGCGTTAGGGTTAACCGACGCTTACAGCCGGGGGGGGGGGGGGTCATGGGAATCCGCCCGTGTCTATTGCCCCACTTTCTCCAGAGACGGTCGCGTTAACAGTGCATCATCACCCCCGTCATGTCGCCGGGCCCACGAGACCGCCCGCCGTTGCCGCCGCCGCTGCCGCCGCTGCTGTCCGAGGGGAGGAGGAACCTCGGGGCCCAATTAAAATAACAAAGAAAACGTCCCGATGGCTTTCGGGAGAGTTCGCAAATTTGCGCCTCGGCATAGCGGCGATCAGCCGTGGTGTGCGACGTGATGAACCTAAAAAATATATATACACACGCGCGCACACACACACACAGATATGCTCACTCGAAAATATATATAATCAGTGATCGGTGGTTGTTGACGATGCAACCCATAGAAATATATACACACGTACGTGGTTCGTAGCACGTCGCGCTAACCACAGCGCCACCGCTCCCGCCGCCCGCGTGCGGACGAACGACACCCGAGCGCAGCGGCTCGGGAAGCGAAACGATAAATTCGACGACGCTCATTTTGAAGGTTTGCACAGCAAACGCGCAGACGCTCCCAATACAGTATTGAACTTCCCTTTTAAACACAGCGCTCGTGATTGTGAACGCAAACCGTCGAGCACAGCCCGGCCCCTACCGGTACGGCGGCAATGACAGTCACAACAATGATAACGATCGTAATAATACATGTATGGATACCACGTGCTAGGGGACGACGGTAATCGAAACACTTGAGTTGTTTCCACGTTTGATTTATTTTACAAACCCGGGAGATGGACCGTGACAGCGGCAGCAGCAGTACCCGGCTATCGCCCCCTCGATCTCTCTCCTCCTCTTCTTTATTTTACACGCTGCGCAATTATCAGTCTGTTTCGTGGTGTGACGAGGGTCGACGGGCAAGCCACGGAACGACGACATACAACCGGTGTGTTCGAGCATTTTTACGCCAAGAGTCGGACACCTGCCAAACACAACGATAACATTTATGTACAAAGCGACGTTCAACTGGGGTTTACAGCGACGCGTCCGCAAAAGTTAACGGGAGGGAGGAGGGAAGGGGCAGGGGGATGGGGTTCAAGTCTCCCGAATCTCTAGCGAATCTTTCCCGACGAGCGTCCGCACACACGGAGGGTTCCGTCCGTCCGCCACGTCCGACGTTGGCGGCGAGGGCAGAGTCCGTCGATTGTTTTCTGATTGTCGCACTCCCAATCGCGCTATTGAAGAAAGCAGCGGGCGGCAGTGAAGAAGTGCTGTTTTTCAACCGTCTCATCGTCCTCCTCCTCTCATCGACATCTTCCTCCACCACCTCACCCCCCTCCTCCCTACAAAATCATCCACTCATGTCCCCTCCCCAAAAAGCAATTAACCCAAGAATAATACAAAATTACCCGATCACCCCACCACCAGACTTTCGTTCCACACCGCAACCACCGCCTTCGTCAAACTCGCAGGCAATGGACACGGCGGCCCGCGTGAAAACGGTTTCCTTGGGCGTTCAGCACCAGTGCGACCCCAGGGAGGGGGGGGGGGGGTCTCCAGTAGTTGACGGTTTCAACTTTAGCAGCTTCTCGGAAGGTGCTTTGGTATTCGAATAAAAGTAGTCGACTTAACAAGAGAGGGTCGGGCTCAGGTTCGCGCCCGCTCGCCCGCTCGCCTGCCCGCCCGCCCAACCGCCGGCAAAAAATAAAACCCCGGCGGGAGGGCCAACGCATCATGAGGTCGCCAGTCTTCTCGTATTTACAATGTTTCTTAAAAAAAAACGAATCAAAGGATTAAAGTAAGCGTTCTTTGTGATTCCACGTGTCGGTCTAAATCGACGTTTCGCGGTTTTCGTCGTAATTCTGTTTTCAGTGCCACAAAAGCACCAGTGGGACCTCTCCGATCCACAGTCCGCGCGGTAGTCCTCGATAGAATACAAAATAAAAGTCCCGCCGCCGCAAGCGACAAACACTTCTTTCTGCCGGCGGTCGTCGTTCCGCAGGCAAGAAGTTAAATATCCACGGGTCAGCCTAGGTCGGGTCCTCGTGTATCAACGCACTCACGCGCAATCGTCCACAACCCTATAAATGAAACAAAACAAAAATCGACTAACGATGTGTCGACGAATTCAACGAACAAACTGCGACGCAGCGAACACGTGGCTCTGACGAACAAAGGTGGCAGCCCAATGCGCCTTGATCTGGGGGCTTTCTGCCGAGGCTGTGACAGGACCCGCGCAGTGCACCTGTGACCTTGTGTTACGGGCGGCTTCGGCAAGTGCGAGTCCAGGGGTGCGTTGGGAGCGTCAGTGCTACCACTAAGGTGGAAAGTAAAAAGCTAAAACTTACACAAATATATTAATGTTGAATAAGAACGACTGCGCTAAACTCTACGTGCCATTTACATCAGCCCTACTTGCTTGTTGGCTTTTTTAATACTACTTTGTGAATTAATTGCGTGAGATAATAATGATTACAACATTGAGCACGAAATTGTAAGACATTTTCCGCAAAATAATCGCGGTGATGGTGATTCTCTCGGTGAAACATCAGCAAGTAAAAATAGAAAATTTTAATTGCAAATGATTAACATTTTAAAAAATACCTTGAAACACTTTAAGGGCACCTTGTCAAACAGCACTTGTACAAAACGATGGTGAAAAAAAGCCACCATTAATGTCGTTACGTATCCGCATTGAACTGAAAATAAAAATAAATAGAAAAAAAATTACCGTTCAAAGATGACGGAATATAAAACGTAGGCGCGAGTGTGATGAGCAAAGAGCAAAAAAAAATCATCAATCTGCCAGCCAATGTGGCCCAGATGGCACGACACATCTCAGCACTGAAGAGAGAGGTGGCCAAGGTGCCAGGGGGGAGAGTGAGGAGGTAGGGGGCTAGGGTCAGGTTCAGTGGGAGGACTTGTACTAGCTTCCACAGTTGGCTGCTTGGTTAGGATGATAGTTCAGGGATTAAAACGCATTTGACAAGCTTGTGTTGGTCAGTGCGAGTACGAGTACAAATGGATGGCTGGTTGGCTCGTTGCTAAGGGCCATCGGATGATGCTACTTAGTACCAGTGGCTGATCGGCACATTGTCTAGGCTCAGCCAGCGCAGGTGCTAGTAACTAGCAGCTGGTTGGCTCGCCAATTAGGGTCACGGCGCAAGCTCCACCATTCCATCGTCCAGCTTCGCTTCCCAAGGTCGTCGTCACCATCGCCGCCCTTTTGGTATTCATCAGCACTTCCGGCGTTTTCGTTACATCCCAGAAGGGAGGGGGGTTTTGGGGGTTGGGGGGGGGGTCAGCAGAGGATGGGCAGCCCCCGCGTGTCGAGCAGCACGCCGGCCGTGGGGTCGTAGGAGCCGGCGAGGTAGTAGAGGTCGTCGTCGCGCTGGTGACGCTTGCTGCCGCGCGTCATCTGCTCGTACTGGCACAGGCTCACCACCTGGCAGCGGTGCGAGATGGTCTGCACGTCGTTCTCGTCGGCGTGCTCCGACTGGTAGAGGGCGCGCTGGCAGGGCGACGGCAGTGGTGGCGGGTGGGAGAGGAAGGGGCGGGGGAGGTGGTGGTGATGATCGTGGTAGTGGTGGCGTCGTTGATGATAGATAGATAAACGGATAGTGATAATAATGGCGGTGGTGAAGATGTTGTTGATGGAGGGAGGAGAAAGGTGGTAGTGTGTAGATCGGACGGTGATGGTAATTGGTTATGATGACGATGTTGGTAATGATTATGATGATGATGATAATGTTGATGTTTGATTCCAGGAGAGGGAAAGGTTGGTGAATGGGACACAAAGGGAACAGGGAGAGAGAAAAGGACAATATAATTAAATGACCTGTCAATCACGTGCATTTTCTTTAACTCAAGAGACAAGGATGGGTCTCATTTGCAAGTGTGAGCTGGGACATCAGTCTGCCAGTTTAGGGGGGGACGATCGCTACGCTTTGTCTCCAATTCAGTATTTTGTGGTGTAATAAAAACAAAATTCGCAAAATTTGGACCCTGACGTCAGCACGCGATGGCCACTGTGCGACCTACAATCAAAATACGAAAATCATTGGAAAAATCAGTCGACGCATCGCAAGCAGGACTCTCATGAACAATATACAGTGTTCATTTAAGGCTGATTCGATCCATAGCAGGCCCTGACCTGCTTTTGATATCACCAACCACTGATGCTGGTGGGGGAATTGAAATCAAGATGCCGGGTTCATAGCGCAGTGCGCTACCATCCCCACTCAGCAACCAAGAGTGGTAATATATACGTAAAATGTATTTAGTTTAACTCGTAAAGAAAAGTTACATAAAGAAGACACGAAAAAAAACGTCCCCGCAAAACGCGAAGACGCGTCGCACATTTTCATTAAAACAAATAAAAGAAATGCCGCGGCCGAAGACTCCGCACGTCGCGACGGGACGAGTGCGGGTCCAAGGTCGCCGTGCGGGGGTCTACTTCGCCCCCCACCCCCCAAACGATAAACACCGCGGGGGGAACTTGATATTTTATTTGCGATTCGTCCGATACCGAACAATCCGAACACAATCTCTCCATTCGTCAATGGGCGCACAATCTCAGTGAATTTTCTCGCCGAATATTGGCTGTGAATCTGCAGAGAAAAAAAATATATAAAAGAATATATATTGCTCAGACAGAGACGAGTCACACTTTCAGTATTTTTTCTCACTCTCTCTATCGTCATCGGTAAGCATCTACGTGGGTGGAGCGGTGGTGCAAGCGGTTAGCGCACTGCACTGTGACGCCCTGGGACCCGAGTTCGATTCCTGGCCATGGCTAACACGAGTAGCAGGCGATGTTTAAACCAGTCCTGCGCCTCTCCATAACCCGTACCACTCAAGAGTGTGGTGGAGTATGGTCATGGGGAGGCCTTCATCCAGCAGTGGATTGGCAAAGTGTCTATCTATATCATCATCATTAAAATCCTTGATCGATCCACTGCTGGATGAAGGACTCCCCAGCCCGCCTCCATCTCTCACGGTCTCACACGACGCAACCATTCACCGAGCTCCTGCGCACGAGCTGGTTTCAGCGCTCCATCTCCGCGGTAGCCGCACCCCTCTCTGCCACTCCGTCGCGAGCAAAGCCCCCCCCCCCCCCCCAACGGTCAATACGAACGCCTCTACACTCCACGCGCGTTCCATTAACCCGTGCGTCGCTCCGTCTCTCGGCGTAATCCCTCGCGTGCGCGCGCGCCTCTCCCCGCCGCGCCCCTTTGCGCGTGCAGCAGATGCCGCGAGGAGACAAATTACATGGGTTTTTTTTTGTTCCATGCGTTTTTTTTTGCGAGACGGGGTGGGGGGTGGGGGGAAGGAAAGGAAAGCAAGCGACGGAATCATGAGCCGAGCACAGAAACGGCGGTTTGCCAAGTAATACGGCGGTAAGGGGCCGTCTCAGATTCGCGCTAAATTGCCTGCTCAAGTGAGCTTCGCTCGCCCCCCCCCCTCTCAAATACAAATCTTGTCCAAAACACAATGGCTCTCCTGAGAGGGGAAGCGAGGTAAGGGAGGGGCGGGGAGGGGGGTGGTTGAGAGGGAATAATAGGGGGGAGGGGAGGCAGAGGGGTGGTTCGGGGAGGGAAGGCCCATATTAAGTCTGTCAGTCTATGCATCTCTATATGTAAGTCTAGATGTGGGTCCCTGTGTGAGTCCGTGGGTCTCTTTGTGAGTATAAGGGTCTCTATGCGGGTCGATGGGTCTCTATGTGATTTGATGGGTGTATGTGAGTAGCCGCTGCCGGCGTACGCCAGTGTCTCCGTGAATCCACGTGTCCCGAGAGGGACCTGCCACTTTGCGTGCGTGTCATTACGTGCTCCATCTCAACCAAATTATCCAGGTGAATCAGTTTAATAACATACGTAAAAAAAAGAAAAAATCGCTCTTTGAAATTCGGCCAGTTCCTTTGATTCCTCAGCGTCTGCACTCGGGAGGGATCCAAAGTGCTCGCGTAAAACGGCACGCGTGCCAGGAGCACGACAACGAAACTAACACAACCGTCCGGTCGACACGGACAAAACTTCCTTCGCCAAAGAAGCGCCTAACCGGGGATTTTCACGAAGGTTCTCCACACCGAGCCTTGGCTTCACATTCTGGGCAAAGCGCTGACCCCACCAAAACAACAGCAACAGCAACAACAATAAAACACGCGCACACGTGAGCCCCCTCCGGGCCAGCCGCTTGCTTCGTTTACAACAACGACGACGGCTGCTCGCGATGGCGGCGGCTGCGCCAACCCCCATTGGAGGTGGGGGGAGGGTGCCCGGGGCAGCCGCCCCCCCACCCCCCCACCCCCACACCGGGCATTGCTTCTCCGCACCGCCTCCTCCCCCACGGCTACTAGGAGCGCCGGCGATCGTACCTTGCCGTCGGCCGGCTTCTTGCCCAGGCGCGTCTCCTCGGGGTGGTAGAACCACTTGACGCGCACCACCATGTGGCTGCCCCACGACTCCCACATGCTCTCGATGCGCCCCACGTAGGGCAGGTTGGGCCGCCCGGCCGAGAGGAAGACGGCGCAGTCCCCCAGGCGGATCGTCTCCTTGCCGCGCACCACCGCCTTGTAGAACAGCTTGCGCGCCTTGCCCTTGACGCCACGCCGCTGCGGGGGTGGGGCGGTGGAGGTGGGGGCGGGGGAGCGGGAGTTGCGGCGGTGAGCGTTCCGAGACGGAAAATTGTAGAGGACACGGGATATTGTCAAGAACTTGGTTTGGTTATTTGATTTTTACATACGCTTTTTATTGATGTTATAAAAATAAATCTTTTTCCAAATAAAGTTCTGTTATCATTTGGTGTATAAGCAAGAGGAGGGTGCTGTTCTGCAACTGATTGGCCTCCAATAGAGGTGGTTAAAATGACCGAGCTACATCGCGTGGAAATGATGGGACACGTGCACATGAGATGATCCACCGTCAGAAATGAAACAGGTGAAATATTTAAATGAAAACATTACAAATATACCAACTACGCTGGAAAAAAAAAAAGACGAAAAACCCCGGCGACCCGAGTTCGATTCCCGCTCACGGGGCACCGACACCGGCGACGGTTATCAGAGCGTTGACGTTGTTCTGATCGATTTTAAAATCGAATAAATTCGACGTCGCAATATTCCGCTCCTCGTGACGACACAGCCCCCTGGGTTGTAACGGTCAGCACACTGGGCTTGCGACCCGGAAGTCGCCGGTTCGATTCCATCCTCCTGGCACGCCAGTTGAATCAACGGTGGAATTGTACCGTCACCACCACCACCACCGAGCGTCACGATCATCACCATGAGCGAGCAGCGGCATGCTGCTCGTCACCGCCGCGGCTCACCTGCGTGGGTTTTCCCGACCACTTCCACAGCTGTCTGACGGGGAGGAAGGCGGCGATCTTGGGCCGGTTCTCCACGGACGGGAGGCGCTCGCGACGTCCCCCTCCCGGGGGCTCCCTGCTGGGGGCCCCCCCCGACGCTCGGCCCTCTCGCCTCGAGACTCCCCGCTGCCTCGCTCCACTGTCAAGGGCACACCCAGCAGCAGCAGCAGCAGGGTGAGTGAGTGAGTGGGTGGGCGAGTGAACGATTGAGTGGGATGGAGAGTGAGTGGGTGAGCAGGTGAGTGAGTGAGTAGGTGAGTGAATTGGTGGGTGAGTGGGTGAGTGAGTGGGTTGGAAAGTGAGTGAGTGGGTGAGGGAGTAGGTGAGTGAGTTAGTGGGTGAGTGGGTGAGTGAGTGGGTTAGAAAGTGAGTGGGTGAGTGAGTTAGTGGATGAGTGGGTGGGTGGACGAGTGGGCGAGTGGGTGGGTGGTTGCGTGAGTGAGTGAGTGAGTGGGCGAGTGAGTGACGTGAACTTTTATAATAATAGCATTATATAATTGAAGCTGACGTTTCATTGTGTCAAAGCCGTGTTAAGCATGCTCAAGCACAAACTATCATTGGGAAGTGCTCTTCTGCAGTGAAAAATCACAGCCCACTGTTGACCTCCCTCTATTGCTGACCCTCCCAAAAAGTGGTACTGATTTTAATGACCCCGGAGAGATGATGGCCAAAGTTGGGCATGCATGTGAGTAGCCGCGTGTGCGTGCGTGCATTACAGCTAGCGACGATTTGAGGTCACACAATCCGGGGTCGCGAACCTCACCCTGTTTTGGGTTTCGACTTGGCCGCTATTGTCGATGTTGCTGCCGCGCCCACCTCATCGGCTCCACCTCCTCCACCACCTCCTCCTCCTCCACCACCACTGGTAGGTCCACCGCCTCCTCCTCCTCCACCGCCACCAGGGGTGGAGTTGGCGTCAGCCATCTGCCGGGCCGAGCTCTGCGGCTGCGACAACGCCGGCCCCACCTCCCCGCGGCCACCGTCATCATCATCGTCGTCGTCCTCCTCGTCATCGTCGTCATCCTCGTCATCGACATCTTCCAAGTCCACGTCGTCGTCCCCGTCCTCCTCCTCTTCCATCTCCTCTCCCTCAGACGGCGAGTCCGACCCGGAGCTGTAAGACGAGTCGTCCCCCTCGGACGACGAGGACGACGAGGATGACGAGGATGACGACGACGACGTCGACGACGAGTTGGATGCCGAGGACGACGAGGTGTTGGACGAGGTGTTGGACGAGGTGGAGGACGAGGTGTTGGAGCGAGACGCAAAGGGCGCCGCCGCCGCCACCGCCGACGGCTCGGTCCTGGCCCTCGTCGCCGCCGTTGCCGGGGTGACCGACGACGTCGCCGCCGTTGCCGGGGTAACCGCCGCCGTTGTCGCCGCCGCCGCCGTCGACGTCGTCGCCGCGGCGACCGCGCGACCGCCGCCGTCGTCCGTGTCCGAGTCGGAGGAACTCTCGGAGCTCTCGCTGCGCCCGCCGCTCTCGCTTTCGCTGAATGCTCGCCCCTCGGTCCGCGCGCGGGACGACGAGGTGGACGACGACGACGAAGACGCCGCCGCCGCGGCCGCCGCCCCTTGTGCTTGCGCCACCCTCTCATCGTCAGCGCCGCCGCCACCGCCGCCGCCATATTTTCCAAACCCGTACACAGCCGCGCCAGCGGGCAGCTTGGGGAGCGCCACCCGCACCGACTTGGCGGGGATCTCCGACGGTAGCGGGGTCACGGACGGGGTCAGCGGGCTGCCCACCGGCCCCGCGCCTGCTTTGGTGCCGGCGCCGCTGCTTCCGCTGAACGTCGGCGCCGGCGTCACCTGCCCCGCGGGAGCGCCGTTGCCTCCGCCGCCGCTCCCCGATCGTCCCAGATCGCCGGAGGCCAGCTTGCGCCCCTCTTGCATCATCAGCGCCTTCGTCTTCTTGTTCTTCGGGAAGATGACGCCCTCCTGGTCCAGCTTGATGAGAACTTCCTGCTCGGCCTTGCGCTTGTTGCCGTTGCCGCCGGCGCCGCCGCCGTTGGCGCTGCTGCCTCCGCTACCGCCGGCTCCCCCGGCCGTCGCCGACCCGGCCTTGACCGGCGATGGCGCCGGCATGCCGCCGTCCTTGCTACGGGCGGCGGCCCTCGGCTGCTGGGCGCCGGGGCTGGGGAGGTAGGAGAGGAACGGGTTCCCGCAGCTCCCCTCGCCGCCGCCGTCGGCGCTCCGCGTGAAAGACGCCAGCGAGAACATCGACGAGCCCTGTGGCGGCGTCGACGTCGACGAGGAGGAGGAGGTAGGGGAGGCGATGGCGTGAGTCGCTGCTGGCGCCTGCCTCTGCTGCTGCTGCTGGTGCTGCTGCTGCTGCGGCTGTCCCAGGCCGACCGGGTTTGCCGACGCCGCCTTGGACTTGGGCCGCTTCGGCTTTGGCGCCGGCGTGTCGGCGCGGCCGGCAAATGGCCCCGCTGCTTTGGGCTTGGCGCTGCGCGTCCGCGTGGGCTGCCGCGGCCGGTGGGGTTTGAGCGCCAGCGGGGGTTGCTGCTGCTGTGCGGAGGGTCCGAGTCTCGACGCGGGTTTCTCGTCGATGTTGCCGGTGATGACGTCATCGTCGTCGTCGTCATCGTCGTCGTCGTCAGTCCTCCGACAGGTCCGTGTCCGCAGCCATGGCGACCAGGAGGTCGGCAGGCAGGGTGTCCTTCCGCGGTGGTTTGACTGTGGCAGGGGGAAATGAGGGAGGCACGCGGCTCAGTGCACGAGGCGACAGCGGCTTGGCACAGGTGCAGAACAATGCAAACGCAGGTGCAATATGACGCAACACAGTAAAGTGAAGGATACAGCAATGAATGTGAAAAGATAAAGGAACGGGAGAGAGAAGAGAGAAGAGAAAAAACGGGGAATGAGAGGAAAAGGATGGACAAGGAATGGAGAAATGGGAGCAGAGGGTCAGGAAAGATGAGGATGAGGGAGGCTACACCAGGGCCTCGACGCTGCTCCTCTGTGCTGCACGGAGGAGCGGCGTCTGTTCTCACAGCAGGCGGCGCCAGGGAGAGGGGAGGGGTTCAGAGTGGGCGTGGCCACACAGAAGCCACGCGGTTTACGGGAGGCTTGATTTGACGCACTAAGGATAAGCGCCGAGTCGTGACGCGTGGGGCGAACGACGCGGCGACTCACCGCGCTTGCCGCCCTTCACCGCCGCTCTCGCCGTCTTGACGCCCCGCGCTTTGCCCTTGGCGCCTGAGTGGGCAGCGGCGTTGCCCGTGGAGGAGGGGTGGGCCCCGTCCATGGCCCCCTCCCCGGTGGCCACCCTGCGGGCACGCCGCGGGTCCCTGCTGTGCAGGAGCAGGGCGGGCGCGGGCTCCGTGCCTGCGCGGAGACGCACGGAGACGCACGGCACGGCGGGTCAGCGCACCGACACCGCACGGCACGCCCCGCTGCGTCGCACTGGCACACCGCACGTCACGCCCCGCTGTATCACACCGCACCAAAACCAAACGCCACTCTCCGCTGCAGCAACACACCGCACCACACACGCACCGCACCACGCTACTAAAGCATGTCGGAACACAGCGCCGCTCCGTGCCACGCCCGAGAGAGACGCCCGCCTTTGACAACTCACGTCGCATGGCATCATGGTACACTCAATACCATACCACAGCCTACTCCCCCAATCTCTCTCTACTCCATCTCTCTCTACACCGCCATCTCTTTCTCTACTACCCCATCTCTCTCTCTACTCCCCCATCTCTCTTTCTACCACCCCATCTCTCTCTCTACTCCCCCATCTCTCTTTCTACCACCCCATCTCTCTCTACCACCCCATCTCTCTCTCTACTCCCCCATCTCTCTCTGCTCCCCTGTGGACTCCCCTGAGTGCCAGGGGCTGAGCGTGTGCTCGGACCAGCAGTGACATTTACACGGAGACAGTGAGTGAGATGGGAGCTGACCGGCCGGCACGGGGCTGGAGGCGCCGGGGAGGTGGAGAGACGGAGACACACGGGGAAGAGGGGGGGAGGGGGAGGAGGCAGGGGAGAGGTGGGGGTGGCATGTTTGTTGGTCGTTCTGCGAGTGTGTATTAGTGTATGGGTATGTATATGAACGAGTGTGGTGAGTGTGTATTAGTGTATGGGAATGTATATGAATGAATGTAAGTGTACATGAGCGTATGGGCATATATATGAATGAGTGTTTATGAGCATATGGGCGTGTGTCCAGTGGGTGCGTGCGCAGTGGGTGCGTGTCAAGCGGGCGTACACAGTAGTGCGTGCAGGTGCGTGCGTGCGTCTTACATGTGACCGTGTAGGCGGGAGGCAGGAGCCGGACGTCTGTGATGGCGATCTTGCCCGTGTCGCCGTCGTCAAACTCGATCGCGATCAGACTCGACGAGTCGCACGCTCGGGGGGTTCCTGCGCCAGGGGTCACGGTGGGCGGGGGGAGGGGGTGTAGGGGGAGGAGGATGAGCCGAGTTAGGCACAGAGGTACAATTCAACAATGGATCGTTAGCCGTGCCTGAGAATCGAACTCGGACAAACAGGATTGTAGGGCGGTGTGGCTATGCATCTACGTATTATCTATCCACGGACGCATGTATCTATGCAAGTGTCTCATCAATCCATCTAGGCGTGCGCGTGTGTGTGCGTGTGTGTGTGCGTGTGTGCGTGCGTGCGTGTGTGCGTGCGTGCTGTGCGTGCGTGCGTGTGTGTGCGTGTGTGTGCGTGCGTGTGTGTTTGCGCGTGTGTGCGTGTGTGTGCGTGTGTGTGCGCGTGTGTGCGTGTGTGTGCGTGTGTGTGTGTGTGCGTGTGTGTGTGTGTGCGCGTGTGTGTGCTTATGGGGAGTGGTAGTGTAGCGGTTAGCGCTCTGCACTATGAACCTGGCGGCCAGTGTTAGATTCCTGCTCATGGCCAACACCAGTGACGATTATGTGAACCGGTCAGGGGCCTCCCTTAGGTCGACTCAGCTTCAAATGAGCACCTAGGTGTGGTGTGTAAACCTCACAACTGGGGAGACAAAGGCGGCCGGGCGTGGTGTTCGCCACCCACCCGCTCTTGTGCCATGCCGGCCTTCATAGGTGCTCACTAACAGCACTTGCCCCAACAGTACGCAAAGGCTACATGGGGCATCTTTGTCTTAGGGTGCCCACTCACCGCGCACCACCGTGCCCGGGTAGAGGAACGGGCACTTGGGGTTCCAGTAGGCACACACGCGCGCGCCCTCCGGCAGCAGCTGCCTCGATGGTGGCTTCACGTCCAGGATCTGTGGGGTCACGCACGCACGCACGCGGGTGTCAACACGTGATCACAGGTTGCGTGGGAACGATTGAGAGTGTAACCGGACGGGCAGCGGGGTACGTCACGCCATTGAACGTGCGCTTCGTTCGAGAGCGCGTGCGCGCAATCGTTGCTATCGTCGTCATCGTCGTCATCGTCGTCATCGTCATCGCGCGTGATCAGCCATTATCTCTCCGCTGTTGGATGAAGGCCACCCCAAACCGTCGCGCCATCTCCCACTGTCTTAACCGCACGCGCGCAACAAATGCCGTCGATGATATCTAACCGGCAGTGATGACGGAGCGGTGTGCTCTATCGCGCAACGAGCCAGTGTGTGTGTGGGCGTGCGCAGCGGCGATCGGGAGACGGGCACGACCCGCATGCCGAGCCGAAAACCAAAAACAACGAAAAGTTAATACCACCGCGCCAAAGCCGATTTGGCTTCCGCAGCGAGCAAAGGGCGAGCGATCAAGCGCAATGCGGCACGGCGCTTGACTGATGAGCCCGTGCATGACAGGTACGGGGCCCCTAAAGAGTAAGAGCCCCCCCCCTCAGCCAGCCCATGAGACAACAGGGCCCCCCCCCCAACGCCCCCCACCCGCACTCTACCCAGCAGCCACTACCAAATGAACCCCCGCCCCCTCATGAATTGTAGATCTGCGATGAGAGGCTCTCGCCGTAGCGCTGTGTGGCAGAGCCACACTCCTTGGGCACGCACGGACGCCACTCAGCGCGGAGGAGAGATAACGGCGATGATTCGTGTTGTTTTTTTCCTCTCTGTGCGTGCGTGCCGACGTTTAGCGCGCAACGGTGGCGAGCTAGAATGCCGCCCCCCCCCCCCCCCCGGCAATTTCCGGCTCTCGCCACTGCCGGAAGGGCCCTCCCTGCGCCACTCTCGAGGGAGCTCCGGAGGGCCACTCTCGTCGAGAGTATTCGGGGCCACGGCACTTCCGCGCTTGGCCGGACGTCGTTTGCCCGAAGAGGTGGGAGCAGCCCGCGCCTCACCTCACCGTACGCCAGCTGCCGATCCGTCGGCAAACACCGCCGCGCTCGCCCGGTTAGTGCGCAGTGGGGGATGGAATCGAAATAGAACCGGCGACATCCGGCATTGCTGCCCGTGCCGCCGCGCGACGGACCATTGCTACGCCGCCAGGGCAAGCGGCCGATGCACAACGACGCAACTGGCCGCTCGGCCGCTCGGCGACACCATGACGAGTGCTCACCCGTGCGGCGCGTTCGTGCGAATGAACAAAACAAACAACGACAGGAACAACTCGGGGGTCCACGGCGGAAATTCACTTCTGCCCCGCCGCACGAGGAATCGCCGCGAGGATTCCTCCAAAGCCCCGTGGACGCCGGTGGTGTCAAAATAAAAAAATAAAAACGCAACCAACTCACATTGAGATTACACACAAAAAAGCCGGGGGGTAGTGGGGGGGGTGGTGGTGGGGGGGTGGTGGGAGGGGTGGTGGGGTGAGTCGTGGGGGAGGTGGTGGGGGGGGTGGTGGTGGGGAGGCGAGGTGGAATGAATTGAATAAATTAATAAAAGTCAAATGAAAAAATAAAAAATAAGGATGTCACAGAGACCCTCGGGGTGGTGACAGGAAACGTTATCTCAGAGACGCAGGCGACACCGCCACTGAGCCCGGTGCCTCTCCCGGCGTGTGCTTGTATGTGCGTGGGTGTGTGTGTGTGTGTTGCGTGTGTGCATGGGTGGGTGTGTGTGTGTGTCTGCGTGTGTGCGTGTGCGTGTATGTGTCTGCGTGTGTGTGTGCGTGTCTGCGTGTGTGTGTGTATCTGCGTGTGTGTGCGTGTCTGCATGTGTGTGTGGGTGTGTCTGCTAACAGCACTTTCCACAACAATCTGTGTGTCTGTGAGTGGGTGTTTATGTGGGGAGCGGTGGGGAGCGGTAGTGTAGCGGTTAGCGCGCTGCGCCATGAACCCGACGATCCGGGTTCGATTCCCACTCATGGCCAACACCAGTGACGATTATCAGAACCGGTCCTGGGCCTCCCCTAGGTCGACTCAGCCTCAAATGAGTACCTGGTGCATTGTTTAAACATCGCCACTGGGGAGACAAAGGTGGTCCGGCGTGGTGTTGGCCACCCACCCCCTCGTGTGTCGTGCCGGCCTTCATAGGTGCTCACTCACAGCACTTGCCCCAATAGTCTGTTAAGGTTATATGAGGGTTCTTTGTCTTTGTTTGCACCTAGTCTGGCACAAGCACTACGGTGATGTCACCGTTACTTGGTGGCGAATGGCGGCTGCTGTAGCTGTTGCAGACGTGTATGTGAATGCTTGGCTGTGTGTTATGTGCGTCTCTGTGCACCTGTTCATGTGCACAAGTGTGTAAGTGAACATGTCTGTCTGTCTGTGCGTGCGTGTACGTCTTGTTGTCTATGTACGTGTGTGTGTGTGCGCATATCTACGCACGTCTTTGTATTTACGCGTGCGTTTGCGTGCTCTTTCCCGTGCGCATTTTTGCGCGCGTATTCGTGTTTTTCGCACGCATGCACGTGCGTGCGTCCGCGCGTCCATCCGCGCTTGCGTGTGTGCGTGCGTGCACGGGTTCGTCCGTGCGCGTGGGTGCGCTGTGCGTGCACATGACCCACCGCTTCCTGCAGCAGTTGCTCGAGCGGGTAGACGTGGGGCCTGTTTCCCCTCTCGCCGTCGACCACCACGCCGTAACTGCCGCGGACACAGACACACACACACACAGACGTCGCGACGCGTTAACACGCGAGCACATAACAGACAGGCGCGTTGGCTTCTTTAGCCAGCGGGCTCCGTGCCTGGGTTCGTAGTTTGGCTGGGCGATGACTGGGTAAGTTGACGGGGATGACTTGCTGGTCCGTGCACTGGGTGGCTGGATGGCTGGACGAACAGTTGGTTGAGTATTTTGGTAGATTACTGGGTGGCTGACTGTTTGGGACATGGGCTGGGTGGGTAGCGGTAGCGTAGTGGTTAGCACCCGACGCGACGGCTCCATTGACCCGAGTTCGATTCCCGCTCACGACTAATATCAGTGGCCATCCTCTAGGTCAACTCAGCTTCAAATGAGTACCTCGTGACGTGAGTGAGCATCTGCACCGGGTAGGCAAAGGCGGCCCGGGCGTCGTGTTGGCCACCTATCCCCTGGTGTGCCATGTTGGCCTTCAGAGGTGCTCGCTAGCAGCACTTTCCCCAACAGTCCGTTAAAGGCTACGTGGAGGATATTTGTCTACATCATTGTGCGTACAAAGACAAAGATCCCCCCGTATAGCCTGGAATGGATTACTGGGGCAAGTGCTGTTAGCGAGCACCTATGGAGGCTGTCACAGCACACGAGGGGGTAGGTGGCGAAAACCACGCCCGGCCGCCTTTTTAAGCCCAGTGGCGATGTTTACACACCGCAGTCGATCTAGGTGAGACCCATGACCGGTTCAGATAATCCTCACCGTTGTTGGCCGTGAGCAGGAATCTAACACGGGCCGCCAGGTTCCTAGCGCAGAGCGCTAACCGCGTACACACACACACACGTGCGTACACACACACCCACGCGTGCGTACACACACACACCCACGCGTGCGTACACACACACACCCGCGCGTGCGTACACACACACACACGCGCGTGCCTACACACACACACCCATGCGTGTGTACACCCACACGCGTGCCTACACACACACACCCACGCGTGCGTACACACACACACGCGCGTGCCTACACACACACACCCATGCGTGTGTACACCCACACGCGTGCCTACACACACACACCCACGCGTGCGTACACACACACACGCGCGTGCCTACACACACACACCCATGCGTGTGTACACCCACATGCGTGCCTACACACACACACCCACGCGTGCGTACACACACACACGCGCGTGCGTACACACACACACCCATGCGTGTGTACACCCACACGCGTGCCTACACACACACACCCACGCGTGCGTACACACACACACGCGCGTGCGTACACACACACCCACACGCGTCCTCACATGTCAGGAGGCTGAATGGCTCGCACGGTGCCCGGGTGGAGCAGCTCGTCCTCCATGGGGATGAGGATGCGGAGTCCATCCCGCACGTCGCAGCGCTCCAGGCAGCAGCGCGGGGGCTCTGGGGGGGGGGGAGGGTGGTCAGCAGGTGAAGGAGAGGGCAGTTTAATCATCTTGAAACTTTTCCCTCCTTTATGTGTGTGCGCACATAGTGTAGCCGTGAGCACTATGAACCCAGCGAGCCGAGTTCGATTGCTGCTCACGGCCAACGCCGGTGAGGATTATCTGAACCAATACCGGGCCTTCCTGAGGTCGACTCAGCCACAAATGAGTACCTGGTGCGGTGTGTAAACATCAAGACTGGGGAGACAAAGGACGGCCGGGAGTGGTGCTGGCCACCCACCAACTCGTGTGTCGTGCTGGCCTCCGTGGGTGCTCGTTAACAGCACTTGCCCCAACAGTCAGCTAAGGCTATATGGGAGATCTTTGTCTTTTGTGCATGTATGTTCGTCCTAACCCCCCCACCCCCACCATATTGCCCACATGTGCGGGCGCTCACCAGGCGTGTGCGGGCGCTCGCGCAGACGGATGAGCGGCACCTCGTCCTCCTCGTCCGAGAACGAGGTGGCGCTGCCCCCCCCTCCGCCGCTCCCCCCGCCGCCGGGGGTGGTGAATCCGAACGGTCGCGCCGCCGCCGCAGTCGCGCCGGTGGCGCCGGTGGCGCCGCCGGCGGCGAGCCCGTCCGGAACGGTCGCTCGCGCCCCTCCCGCTTGGCTCACGCCAACGCCGGTGCCGCCGCCGCCGCCACCGCCGGAGCTGCCGGTGCCACTGCCGCCACCGCCGCCGGGACCAACGCTGCCGCCGACGCCGACGCCGCACGGCCCGACCCCCGCGCCTCCTCCTCCCCCTCCGCTCGGTCCGACCGGACGGATGCAAGCGCCGCTGGTGGGGGCCGTGCGGCTCACCTGCCGTGAGATGGCGAGGGAGGTGCAAGAGGAGGGAGCTGTGGTGAAATGGCAGCGTGTCGCGGCGAGTCACCCGCGGACAGACCGGGTGACTTGCGACGGAGTGACTCTGACTTGGACTCTGAGCTGAGCTAAGCAGCTCAAGACCGCCAGCAGTGCTGGCAGCTATAGGAGATCGTCATTGCAGAGAGTTACAGAGAGAATCATAGGCCACAGCCGAAGACCATCAGCAGTTAAGGCAGTCACAGGACGGTGCATCGTGTAAACGTGCAAACCAACAACAGCAAAACCACCACCACCACCACCAACAACAACAACAACACACAATTTACACTAATCCCACGCCGAAACGTACCGCAAATGGAATAAAGAACACGGAGTGCTTACACAGAGTCGATAGATGGACGTGGACGGATGTATGGATTTCCACGTGGACTGGGTGAATGTGTGCCTGAACGTGTGGTTGGACAGCTGCGTTGCTGTGAGGCTCAGTGATAAGCTGGTTGGGTGGCTGAATGAACGGCTGGCCGTATTGGAATTTGAGCTGAGGGCTGTGCGAACTCAGGGTATTGTGACTGTGACTTTGTAGGTGTGTGTGTGTGTGCGGCTGTGGGGCTAGGTGCCTAGGTGACTGAGTGGCCGGGGCAGTGGGTGACAAAGTGGCGAAGCGGCTAGGTGACTCGGTGACTTTGTTGCTATAAGACTGGGTGACATAATTACTAAGGTGACTGTTTGACCTCGTGGCCAGGGAACTAGGTGACAACGTGGCTCAGGGGCTAGGTGATCAAGTGACTTAGTTGCTAGGGCATTGGTGACTTAATCGGCTGAGCGGCCGAGGTGACCGGTCGACCGAACGTTTGAGTGACTGCGCGGCAACGGGCAGGTGACCACACGCACCGGTCGGCAATCGCCCTTGCTCTTGGATGCTTTGGGTTTGGTGCCGGGCTTCCCGCTCGGCCGGCTGGCCTGGGACAGGCCGGCGCGGCTTGGCACGGCCACGGTCCCCATCTTGCCGCTCTTCTTCCGCTGAGCGGGAATCGAAACACGGACGACGCACTCCCGTTAACGTTCACTTCGCGCGCGGCAAAGGCAAGAGGCTCACGCCTGATTCGCGATGGCGAATCAGGCGTAGGGTCAGGCGACGTGAGTGTGTGTGTGCGCATGTGGGGAGTGGTATGGTAGAGGTTAGTGGGCTGCGCAACGAACCCGGCTAATCCGCTTAAGGCCAATACCATTGACATCACTACCAGGGAGACAAATACAGGAACCGATAATCAGCTGTGTCGTGATTTTCGGTGGCGATTCGTTTACAAGTTTGGTAGTTTTCATGACAAAGGACGACATGTCCTTGGGCACAACAATCATCATGATCGTCATATTTCCTTTTTATTTTAAATGTCCTTTACTTACCGCTGCCTTCTCTTTCATCTTCGCCTTGCTGGCTCCGCTTGCCGGGCCCGAGCCGTTTCCACCTCCGGTGAGAAAAGCCGACATGGGCAGCGCCGCTCCACCACCACCGCCGCCACCACCGCCGCTACCGCCACCACCACCTCCACCGCCAAGCGTCCACATCCCGGCAGTGCCAAAATCGGCGAAATCCCCTCGCATCGCGCTGTGCGCGGCAGGAGGCCTCGCCACCCTCGGCTTAGTAGGCCTAGGCTTCGACTTTGCCGACTTGGCCATCGGCACGGACGTTTTTGGCGGAGTTGTGCTGGCGCCGGGAGGCCGCGAGAGGCCCGGCAGCAGCTTGGGCCTCTTGCCGGGCCGCGAGATGACGGGCGCGGCCTTTTTGGGTGGCCGAGGGGCGGCCGGAGTGGTCCTTCGCACCTTCACGTCGACCTCCGAGTCAGAAAATTGAGAATCGGTGCCTGGTGTCACGAATAAAAACAAAGACAAAGACGGAGACTATGTTAACAACTGGATCATGTGGGCATGTGGGTACACGTGTGCGTGTACGTGTGTGGGGAGCGGTAGTGTAGCGGTTAGCGTGCTGCGCTATGAACCTGGCGACCCGGGTTCGATTCCCGCTCACGGCTAACACCAGTGACGATTATCTGAACCAGTTCTGGGCCTCTCCTAGGTCGACTCAGCCTTAAATGAGTACCTGGTGCGGTGAGTAAACATCGCCACTCGGGAGACAAAGGCGGTCGGGCGTGGTGCTGGCCACCCACCCCCTCGTTCGTGTACTGTTCCGGCCTTCATAGGTGCTCGCTAACAGCACTTGCCCCCACAGTCTGTTAAGGCTATATGGGGGATCTTTGTCTTTGTATTAGTCTCATCCTTAAATAAGTAACCAGTGCGGTCTGTAAACCTCAGCGCTGGAGAGACAAAGGCGGTTTGGTGTGGTGTTGGCCCACTAATTGCCTCGTGTGCTAGCCTTCATAGGTGCTCGCTAACAGAACTTGCCCCAGCAGTCTGCTAAGGCTACGCGGGGGATCTTTTTTTCGTGCGAGTGTGTTTGTGAATTAATGGTAGCAGTCGTGTCGTGGTTAGCGCGCTGCACTCTGAACCTGCCGACTTTCATCTTGATTCCCGACCACGGCTGATATCAGTGGTAATGGATGAGTGTGTACACGTGTGTGATGTGTGTGGCGCATGTGTGATGCGTGTGCGATGCGTGCACACGCGCGTGATGCGTGTGGCGCGTGCGTGTGGAGCATGTGTGATGCGTATTCGCGCGCGTGAGTGTGAGCGCTTGATGCGTGTGTGCGTGTGCGTGATGCGCGTGTGGCACCTGTGCGTGATGTGTGTGTATGATGTGTGTGTGTGATGTGTGATGTGTGATGTGTGTGTGTGCGTGATTGTGTGTGTGTGATGTGTTGTGTGTGATGTGTGTGTGTGTGTGATGTGTGTGTTGTGTGTGTGTGCGTGATGTGTGTGTGTGATGTGTGTGTGTGATGTGTGTGATGTGTGATGTGTGTGTGTGCGTGATGTGTGTGTGCGTGATGTGTGCGCGTGTGTGGTGTGTGTGTGTGTGATGTGTGTGTGTGATGTGTGTGTGTGATGTGTGTGCGTGGTGTGTGTGTGTGTGATGTGTGTGTGCGTGCGTGATGTGTGTGCGTGATGTGTGTGCGTGATGTGTGTGCGTGGTGTGTGTGTGCGTGATGTGTGTGTGTGTGTGATGTGTGTGTGATGTGTGTGTGTGCGATGTGTGTGTGCGTGATGTGTGTGTGTGATGTGTGTGTGCGTGATGTGTGTGTGTGCGTGATGTGTGTGCGTGATGTGTGTGCGTGGTGTGTGTGTGTGATGTGTGTGTGATGTGTGTGTGTGCGATGTGTGTGTGCGTGATGTGTGTGTGTGATGTGTGTGTGCGTGATGTGTGTGTGTGTGCGTGGTGTGTGTGTGTGTGATGTGTGTGTGCGTGGTGTGTGTGTGATGTGTGTGTGATGTGTGTGTGATGTGTGTGTGATGTGTGTGTGTGCGTGCGTGATGTGTGTGTGTATGTGCAAGTTCCCGTGAGCGTCATGAGTCGAGTGCTGTGATGCCGGACCCATAGGGAGCGAATGCTTTATGAGTTTTTATTCCGCACACAGTTAATTCTCGACAAATTTCCACGCGCTAACTTGGCAGGGTTTGCCTCTCTCCCTCCCCACCACCCCCCTCACCCGACGCCACCATGAATTGAAGCAAGTTCGACAAACAACGGGAGTGAAAAAACGACCGCTGGCTCAGACCACCCACAGAGATACACGCAGAGAAACGTAGACGACACACTCGGACACGTAGACATCGAGACACAAAGACAAAGATCCCCTCCCCCCCTGCACAGCCTTTGGGGGCCAGCACGGCACACGAATGGGTGTGTGCCCAGCACCACGCCCAACCGCCTTTGTCTCCCCAGTGCTGATGTTTCCACACTGTACCAGGCACTTGTTTCAGGCTGAGTCGACCCAGGGGAGGCTCAGGACCAGTTTCTATATTCGTCACTGTTATTGGCAGTGAGTGGGAATTGAACTCGGGCCGCATTACTCTAACTACGACATAACCACTCAAAGTAAAGATACGCACTCAAACGCACACGTAATGATAGACACATATAGACAATACATATTCAGATACATAAGTATTCACACACATAGACACACATCCTTGGTACACACACACACACTCACACAACACAGCAGTCTCACACCCCGGTGTTATTGCGTTCACACCAAACACTTTGAGGCCACATGAAGTGAGGAATGATAGAGGTCAGAAGGTGATGGGACGGACCCAGATGTTATATGTTAACATGTGCAGGCAATAGCGAACTGCACACACATGCATGCATGCACGCACACACACACACATGCATGTAAACAATCGCGTTTACACAAAGGTCCCCAGTATAGCCTTTTCAGGATGTTGGGGCAAGTGCTGTTTGTTAGTGAGCACACTCGGGGCCAGCGCCATGGCTGGCCGCCTTTGTCTCCCCGGTGCTGATGTTTGCAGACCGCACCGGGACGAATCGCCCTAGAAGGAGCCTGTGGAACCGGTGCGGATAATGTGCCGCTGATGAATAAGGGTCGCCGAGTTTCCCTTGAGCGCAGTGTGCGAACCACTTGGCTCCCGCTCCACACACACACAGACACGCATACGAACACGGAGCGCACAGACACACGCACGCACGCCCACACACACGCACGCCGCTACCCCTGGCAATGCTCCCCCGGATGACTGCCCAGACGTCCCTCCTTGCCCCCCATCACCCCCACCCGCTCCACCTCCCACCCCCCCCACCTCACCGCGTTCACCCGAGTTGGCATGAGGCCTCGCTGTGCGTGGAATCGGGCCATGACGGACGCTTTAACGAGCTCTTGCGGCACGCGCGCGCCTGTGTGTGTGCGTGTGTGTAAGTGTACGGTCCGTGTGTGTGTGTGTTGTGTGGTCTATGTATCTGTGTGTCTGTGTGTATATGGGGAGTAGGGAGCGGCAGCGTAGTGGTTTGCACGCTGCGCCACGAACCCGGCCACCCGAGTTCGATTCCTGCGCACGGCTAACACCGGTGACGATTATCTGAACCGGTGCTGGGCCTCCTCTAGGTCGACTCAGCCTCAAATTAGTACCTGGTGCCGTGTGTAGACATCGCCAATAGGGAGACAAAGGCGGTCATGGCGTGGTGCTCACCACCCACCCCCTCGTGTACCTTCATAGGTGCTAGCTAACAGCACTTGCCCCAACAGTGTTACGGTAATATGGGGGAACTTTGTGTGTGTGTATACGGTTTGTGTGTGTCTGTGTGCGATTGTGTACGCACCTACGTATGTTGAACTCCTTCTTACGCACCGTGCGTAAGATGTACGTGCGTGCGTATGTGCGTGGTGCGGTGGCGATCGAGCGCCTTTCATACCCAGCATGCACTGCCGCTCCCTCTTCTTCCGCGCTTTCTGCTTCGCTTCCAGCTGCACCAGGGAGGGCAGCGGGGGGGCCGTGGGGGGCCCCCCGCGGTGGGAGCCCCCCCCAACTGCCGCCCCCCGCCCGGGAGCAGGGCCCCCGAACCCCGCCATGATCCCGGGTCTGAAACACGAGCCAGCCACCTCGTCGTCGTCGTCATCGTCGTCATCGTCGTCGTCGTCGTCCTCGTCATCCATGAGGTCATCCCTGTTGTCATCCTCGTCTTCGTCATCTTCATCGTCGTCATCATCATCCTCATCATCGTCGTCGCTGTAATCGAACCCTGCAACACAGAGGGGGGAGGTATGAACCAGGGTTGAATCATACCACTGTTACGAATACTCTCACCTACGCCCCGAGTTTCCTGGCTGGCTGCTGGCTTGGCTCCTCTCCACCCCAACAGTAACTCTGTTGTCAGTGGCTGCGGGCCCTTGACTAAATAGTTGGGTAACTGGCATCAGAGGGTTTCTCGCGTAACAAATAATTATCAGTCGATTGAATGGAAACGGCGGAAGGCGTGTAAGAGACAGTGACGCCGAATAGCGGAATATTCTTTGAATCGTGGAGAATATAAAAACAAATCACGATACGTATTATCTTGACATTTTATAATTTTTTTCATAAAAGAGCTGATTGCTCTTCGTGCTCTGAGTACAGGAGGATCGTGAGAAGACCGTGACAATCACAGCTGCCTCTTCACTTTCCATTGATCGTTGAATACATTTTTTTTATAATTTGCACCTCGTTTATGGGAAGTTGATGTCCCACGGCTGCCATTGTTCGTATCAGTTTCCATTGTACGACGACGATCATCATCGTCATCATTATTTATAGCGTGTTGTCTTTCCCCCCACACATCCAATTAGCACGGTTGGCTAAGTACGGTGCGAAAGAAGTTCAACATACATACATCGATCGTCATCATCGTGATTTTCACCACCATCATCACCATCGTCATCATCATACATCAACTGATTTAATTAAAACTCAACACGTTGGCGAGAATGTGTTGCGTGTTTTATGACGTTGTGTGTGAGGTTATGCGGACGAGAATGTGCGCGGCACGTGAGAGTGTGTGAGTGAGAGTGTGTGCGTGAGTGAGAGTGTGTGTGTAAGAGTGTGTGTGTAAGAGTGTGTGTGAGAGTGTGTGTGTGTGAGAGAGTGTGTGTAAGAGTGTGTGTGTGTAAGAGTGTGTGTGTGTGAGAGTGTGTGTGTGTGTGGATGCGCGCGCGCGCGCGTGCGTGCGTCCGCGCGTTCGTCCGCTCTCTCCCGAGCGCGCCGCGCTGGCAGAAATCCAAAACACGAGCGAGAATGAGCGAGAGAGAGAGAGACACTTCCCAACGAACGGAATCACCACACTTATGACGCACAATAGCACACATCTCCCCACCCTCTCTCTCTGCACCACCCACCGCTCACCCCAACCTCCCGACCACCCCCTTCCTCGCACCCAGCCACCCCCGGCCGCCGCCGCCACCACCACCAGCCCCCGCTCGAGTACACGTCACACACGCAGCCTTACAAACCAGCTCACGATTTCGCCTCTCCCCCCTCTCTCGCCCCGCTCCCTCTCGCTCTCTCCTGCCATTACTGCCGCCGCATCTGGCAGGCAGCCAGCCCGCGCCGCGATTTGGAATCAGGTGTGTATACACGAGCGGCACACGTGTTTAAATTTAGCCGCGTGATGATACGACACGAAGACAAAGATTCCCTGGTGCCGCTTGAATAGCATGGTGGGTGGTGGGGCGAGGCACGTGTTGTTAGCGAGAGCCGATCAAGGGCGGGTATGGCGTACGACACGCTGCGGGTAACATCACCCGGCCTCAACATTTATTTTACACAGTGCCGCTATGTTAATTTGCATTCTCGCAAACAGCTGCTCATTGAAGGCTGAACAGACCTAGGGGCAGGCCCATGGCGGGTTCAGGTGCCACTGAGGAATCAAAGCCAAGGTGCTGGACCTGTAAGCGCGGTGCGCTGCCCATTGTGCCACAGACAAAGATCCCCCGTATAGCCTCAACGCACTGTTGGAGCAAGTGCTGTCAGCGAGCAGCTGGGGTGGGTGGCCAGCACCACTCCTCGACCGAAACATCGCGCCAGGTACTCATTTGACCGGTTCAGATATAACCGTCGCCGGCGTTGGACCGTGAGCGGGAATCGAACTCGGGTGGCCGTGTTCGTAGCGCTGCGCGATGACCGTCCGCTCATCGCAGCTCACGCACGTGGACACACGTTGGCACGCGCCAAATCGAAGGCCCAACATATAGACGACTGCCTTTTAGAAATGGTTGGGGCAAGTGCTGTTAGGAAGCAAAGGTCCCTTGTCACCACCACGCACACCTGGCCCCACCTTTGTCTCCCCAGCGCCGATGTGCTTTCATAGCCCGAGTTGCACAAGGGAAGAAGCAACACAAGCGATTGATACTACCCGCCACTGATGGGTTTTGTTTTTTTTACCCGAGGCTGGGAATCCAAGCCGGGTAGGCGGTGCGCTAACCACTGCGCCACCGTTCCGTCCGATCTTTCACTGCGTTGGCCAGAACGTCACGGGGAAGCTGTCGCGATTTAAGAGGCGTCTAAAATTACCGCTGCCTGTGTTCGTGGCTTGATGCAAAGCCAGTGGCATTTGCTTCGCGTGCGTGTATTCCACGGGTTCATGTTTTTCACCCCCAGAATGAATATTATCATGTAATTACGTGTACGTTCGAATGCAGCAGTTTCTTTTAAAATGCATTTTAAATGCATCATTATCCCCCAAAAAACAACCACAGCCACAGAGGCACACTTAATCCCTGCACAGCGCAAACACACAAACACAAGCATATGCTCACACATACATAAACAAGACAAAGATTCCCTGCATAGCCTTTAACAGATTGTTGAGCAAGTGCTGTTAGCGAGCACATACGAAGGCCGGCACGGCACACGAGGGGGTGGGTGGGAGTGCAGCACTACGCCCGGCCGCCTTTGTCTCCCTCGCGGCGATGTTTACTACGCACCGCAACCAGGTACTCATTTGAGGCTGAGTCAACCTAGCGGCAGCCCACGACCGGTTCAGACAATCACCACCGGTGCCGGCCGTGATCGGGAATTGAACTCGCGTCGCCATGTTCGTAGCGCGATGCGCTTACCGCTACGCTACCGCTCCCCGCCACACGCACACATACACACAAATATAAAGATCCCCCGTATAGCCTGAACAGACTGTAGGGGCAATTGCTGTTAGCGAGCACCTATGAAGGCCAGCACGGCACACGAGGGGGTGAGTGGCCAGCACCACGCCCGACCGCCTTTGTCTCCCTAGTGGTGATGTTTACACACCTCACCAGGTAGTCATTTGAGGCTGAGTCGACCTAGGGGAGGCCCAGGACCGGTTCAGATAATCGTCACTGGTGTTGGCCGTGAGCGGGAATCGAACTCGGGTCGCCAGGTTGATATCGCAGCGCGCAAACCGCTGCACTACCGCTCCCCATACACACACACACGCAGACAAACACGCACACATACACACACGCAGACAAACACGCACACATACACACACGTAGACAAACACGCACACATACACACACGCACACATACACGCACGCAGACAAACACGCACACATACACACACGCGCGCCGCACTCAAGCATTTGGTCGCGTAATAACGAGCGTCTCCTAATGAGAGCGCCACCATTACCATTCCCCGCGTTCACATCGCCTGATGGTTTGAGGACATTTCTGAGCACAGAGGCTGCGCTCCTAATTGATGTCGCACATTAGCGGCACGCAGTCACTCGCGCCGCATTTTATTTCCTCTTTTTTTTTACCACCTTAACCCTCCGCCCCCACCCTCCCGTCCTCCCCACCGCCCCCACTGGGCTGAGCGCCCGATGAGAGTGTAAAGCCCCCACACGCGCGCACGCGGGCAGAGAAAATCATCTTGGAATTCAGTAAGAAACATCGGCGAACGCCGGCCACAAAGCCAAGGCCAGCCGCGATGATACCGCCCGACCACAACGCCAATCCTAACACTCGTGCCAACCGCAGTGCCAATTCAAGGTCCGGTGCCAACTCTCAACTGTAACCCAACCACACCTGCGATGCCAACCCTGAGCCCAACAACAAACAAAGAACGTCCGATGTTAACCCCCCAATTGTAACGGCGGCACCACCGGCGCAAACGTTGAACGCCATCAACAACTCCAACGCGGTTGCAACCCAGCGAGGCGTGAGCTAATCTCCATCCGTTCCACGCTCCCTTCCCGGTGGGTGGATGTCCGGCAGGAGCCATAAGCCTGGCTCGCCAGGAGAAGGCGGCTCAGAAAAGTGTGGACTGGTCTCGTCTGTAGGCAGGGCTTCATATCAGCCAAGGCTTTCTGGGGCTGAGCTCCAGAAAATACATGACCACCCAAATATGGGGGTGGGGAGTTATGGGAAGAGGAGGGAGGGGAGGGGGGAAAGAAGTTGGTTGCAGGGAGGAGAGGAGGGGGGGGGCGCGTGGAAAATATTCCATTCCAATATAAGTGCCACTAACAGCGATGCTCATTCAATCAATTTGAGCCCCCTTATTTATGCAGCTGACAAGAGCATTGAGATTCATTCTCTCTAGCTCCGCGATGGGTGGACTCGAGAAGAGAATGGAGGGGGAGGAGTGGGGGAAGGGAAGGGTAAAATCTGGACCGCGGTCAAGTCGAGCGGTACCTCCCCGACGCTAGCGCGCTCCCTCCGAGCCCCGCGCTCCGCTCCGCACGCCCGTAATGGGGCTCGTTTTAAAATTTATAGCGAAGGAGCGAGTGGCGCTTGGGTGCTTGACAGGCACCCCCCCCAACCCCCCCCCCACTGCCTGCCCCCCACTCACAGCCCCCCACCGCCCATTGCCCCCCGCCCCACCCCACCCACCCGCCGCCCCCACTGGCTGACTGCCCAAAAAAATCAGCGGCTCATATTCGAGCTCCGGGTCTTCACCTGCCAAACAGTGAGCACTGCACGGCGCGGTACTGTGGCTTCAAACTCCACGCGTGCATGCAAGTACAAAGGCAAAGATCCCGCCGTATAGCCTCGGGGGCAAGTGCTGTTAGCGAGCACCTATGAAGGCCGGAACGGCACACGAGGCGGTAACTGGCCAGCACAACGCCCAGCCAAGCGGACTGCTCCACTCCCGCTCCACTCCACACGCGGACAAACACACGCCACGTAGGCAACGGCTTCCACCGTCTCCGCTCGCCCATTCATTGTTTCTCTTAAAGGCACACGGGCGGTGTGTGTGTGGGCTCATAACCAGTTTCATGTTCTGGCTTCAGGCCTTGACGTAACAGCCAAAACACAGCGAATGGCCCTCCCGGCAATTACGGCAGTTTGTCGGCAATCGAGAGACGAGACCGCCACGGTTTTAACAAAAAAGAAAACGACGAATATTTACATTCACAACTGTGTGTCCTGAGCCATATAATCATAATGGTGGGGAGATGTTAACTATTTCGCCTGGTATACAGCAGGTCTTGGATTAGATCCCGACTGATGTGTGCTCTATATTTGGAGTTTGCACGTTTCCCCATGGTCGCGTGGAATTTTCTCTGGGTCCTCGCGGTTTTTCCCTCCACGTTGAGAATCAACATCACGCATTTAGAGTATTTGGCTGCTGTAGATTGACGAGTGATACGCCACTTAATTGAGCTATCATTTGTGGCCATGTCGCTTCTGATAAAGAGCTATACAGCTCAGTGGGCCTTACCTGGTTAAAATAAAACTAGTTGAGTTTTAGCTTAAATCACATGCTTACAAACGCCCAGATCCTGGGTGTGAACCTGGGCTTGAGATCCTGAGTCTGAATCCTGGGTGTTAATCAGATCCTGGCATTAGATCCCTTTGTGTGCACCTGGGCATCGACCATCCCTGCTTTCTCAAGCGTAGAAAGTTGATGGTCTCAGCGCTGGTGGCCACCAAGTCGGCCGTGGCCAGCGAATCGAACGTGACCACGCGACACCGCTCCCCACACTGCCCCACCCCGCCCCCCCTATTCACAAACACGGATCGCGAATATTGCCGAGTCAGAGAGCGAGCGATCGGTAGCCAAGGCAGGGAATGGCCGTAGCAGCCAGGGGGCAAAGCCACGAGAAACCCAACCCCAGGTAAATAGGTAATTCAGTAACAATCCGGCCCGGTGGCAGATTAAGTGTTCATACTTCCCTTGACAGCTTTCAAAACAGAGGGGCCTCATTACAGCCAGGTCCGACGTGGGTTTGTTTAACCAAACAAGGTGCGTGCGCGCGGTCCTTTGCTAAGCCCCGTAATCCGAACTAAAGCAGCCGACGTGAATTTTTATTTTCTTTTTCAATTTTCCCAATGATGTATCCTAGGGCGAGGGGAGGTGGGGGGAGTGGAGGGCTGAGTAATAGGGGCGATTGCCCCTACCACTTCTTTGAAACTATTAAAAAAAATCGTATTTTATCCAGTGAGTATACGTATAATGTATTTTTTATATTATTCTAGGGCCTCCTTTAAAAAGCTTAGAATTTTGGGAGTGAACTCCCCCCCCCCAAACACCCCCCACCCACCTCCCCCGACCTTTGGGGAGTCTCCAGGTCGGCCTCTGTGCTGCTGCTACCTACAGCTGCTGTTATTTTTCTGCACACCATCACCACCAGCACCACACACGCGCACACAAAGGCTTAGCCTGAAAAATCCAAATGCTTAATATGCAGCGCAATGGAATTAGCCCCACGTGAACGCACGCGTCCGCCCATCAGGGGCGGGAGTTGAATCCAATAGCAGGCAGCCACGACGTAGCAGCAGTAGCAACAGAAATTAGCTTTGCTAATTGCATTTTTTTTCCATGTAGATAATTGAGACAGGTCTCCAAAACGTGCCATCTCTCTACTCCGGCGAAATAAAATCGACCCGACATGCACAGGCAGGTCCATTCCATAGCCATGTGGAATTTCCACCCCCGATTCATGGCTCATTTGAGCAGGAAGCCATCCTTAACCAGACATTGAATATCAACAATACACAACCTATGCTGTCTCTTCCACACTGTGAAGGTCGTTATGTGACCATACTTCATCACACTGAACGAGTTGGTGAAGGCGTGGAGCATAGACATGGGGTAACAGAAGTACAGTACAACAATGTATATATGTATGCACTGCACTCTGCTCACACACTCACTGGCCCACTCAACCACCCACTTATCCACTCACCCACTCACCCACATGCTCACCCACCCACTCGCTCACCCACCCACTCAGCAACTTAAGCCACTCTCTCAACAAAACCGCACCCACCTCGTTCGTAAAATTCCACCGAGCTCACGTCCTCATCGTCCTCTTCTTCATCATCATCATCATCGTCGTCATCATCATCATCGTCGTCGTCGTCATCATCATCATCGTTGCTGTCGTCGCTGTCGTCGGGGAAGCGCGCCGGGTAGACGATGCGCACCGCCCTCGCGTGACTCTTGGCGCCAGGCGCCCCACCGCCGTTCCCGCCGGCGTCGCCGCTCGCTCCCGACCGCGCCTTCGCAGTGCCCGTGCCACCGCCCCGCGGGCCGCCTCTTCCCGCCGCCGCCGACGCCATCGCCGATGCCAGCGTGGGCCCCGGCGCCGGCCGGCGTGCGCCGCTCTTGGCGGTGGCGCGGGGCGGGTTTGGCGACGGCGCCGGCACGGGAGCCGGCTTCTTCTTTGGCGTCGTCATCGTTGCGGCAGCGCCAGTCGCCGCGCCCATCGTGGAGGAGGAGTTTTTGGAGGCGGCCACCGAGGAGAAGTCAGGAGTGGAGAGGGAGGGCCAGCGATCCGCGGTCACGGGCTCGTAGTCGGACGCGCTGCCTGCGGGGCGGGCGAGTTGGTGAGAGGGTGGGCGAGTGGGTCGGTAGGTGTCCATTGGGTTGGTGAGTGAGTATGCGAGTGGTTGATAGGGCGAGTGGGCGAGTGGGTGTTTTCGTAGGAGAGTGGGTGAGAGAGAGAGAATGAGTGGGTGGGTGAGTAGATAAATGAGTGAGTGGGCGGATGGGCGAGTGGTTGAAAGAGCGAGTAGGCGGGTGGGTATGCGGGACAGACATTGGGTGAGCAAGTCACGAGTGATTAGGTGAGCGTGCGTCGCTCACCTGGATCGGGCCTGGCGGGGGCCGGCTGTGCGACGTCCGCCCTGGCTCTGGCACCAGTGTCCACTCCGGCTGCCGCTGCTGCCCCCCCCTTCGCCCCCGCCCGGGCTCCGGCTCCGGTGGTGGTCGTGCGCTCCTTCTTGCCAGATTTCGCCGGCGAGGTCTTGGTGACCGCGCCCGGGGCAGAGTTCACAGTTCCAGAAGTCAGAGCCGCCCTCTTCCCTCCGTCATTCAAATTCTTCTTTTTCTTGTTCTTTCCAGGCGCCGGCAGTGACGAGGACGAGGAGGAGTTGGGCGAGGAGGAGGAGGAGGATGGTGGTTGTACCGAAGATGACGATGAGGACGTTGCCGGCGGCGGCAGTGGTGGTTGTGGTGTTGGTGGTGGTGGTGGTGCCGTTGCGGTGCTGGGTGGCGCCGGGGAGCGAGTCTGGCCCTTGGGTTTGCGCGGCGATGGTGACGTCGTGTCGACACTTTTTGCCTTCGTTCTCTTTTTGGGCTGCGCGAGCTTCTGTCGGATAGAGGACATGTCATCAATATACATCATCAGCATCATCATCACCGTGGTCATTGTCATCATAGTCATCGTCATCATCGTTATTGTCATCATCTTCATGATCAATATCATTCGATGTTGTTATCATCATCGTAATCATCACGGTCATCATCACCCAGAGTCCATACAAATGTTTATCAGGAGGCTCCTGCATTGGGATATTTTGCCCAACACCAATTTACATGCAATGTTATTTTCCCCTTCAATACTATGGGAGGGAAACTGGAAAACCCATGCAGAACAGGTGGGGGGGGGGGGGCAGCATAGAAACGCCACACGGAGAAAGGTGCGCCCTATTTAGGGATCGAACCCTGACACCATCGGCGCTCACCCCATGCAGGCCGTTGGGCAGGGACACGCTGATCCCGCCGCAACGCCATCGTCGTCCACGCCGCCCCGTGTTTTACCCGCGACCGCCGCTGTTGTTTGTGCCGGTGCTGGGTGTGCGGTTGGAGATGAATCTATTCATTCGCTTTGCCTATTCATTTGTGAAACCTCCGTCTGCGCGACCCGGCAAACAACAGCAGCCGTCACTTGCAGAGAAAGGTCGTTCATTTCGAATCGCTTGGGAGGTTGGTTCCATTAGGTTATTTATTTTTACTTCTGCCCTGTCGAATTATTTTTTTAATCGAAGCGATGCTCCTCCTGCTCCTCCTAAAGAGGCACGACGAGGCATCGTTTTCCAGGCCCTGGGGCAATTCCACGTTCCCATGGCGGAGGCGAGTAAAGTGGTGGTGCTCATTTTATCATCCCCCAGAGTCAACCACCACAGCCAACTCTCAACCATCTGCTTGCATGCCGCTTGCTCTACCCACCCCCCCCCCCCCCCCCACACAATTGAGTGTATCATTTGAGTTTTTTTTTTACAAATGTGTTCATTTATCTTCATCATCATCATTACCATCGTGATTATTCTGACGATGACGACGATGATGATTATTAACTACGGATTCCTGGCCGCGGCTGGTATTTCATGGCAACGAGCGCGACAAGGGAGCACGTTGCCAGTGGCCTGGCAACGTGCTCCCTTGTTTTTCCCAGGAAAGCCACGCTGAGTCCTGCTAAGTGTTTCACGGAATGGGGGGGGGGGGGGGGGCGTGGACCAATTAGCGATTTGCATAATTTCAACTGTAAGCTGTATGTATGCATGTATATTGAACTTCTTTCGCACCATACGTAGCACACCGTACTAATTGGAGGTGCGGTGGAAGGACAACAAACGAAACACAACAAGCAATCGAGTAATTTGCGGTGTAATTTGAATCTAATTTGGCAAATTTGAACCATGAGGCCCACTCACGGTGATCTTGAATGTCCAGTGTGAAGCAGAAGGCTCGTACTGAATGCGTAATACACCCGCAGCATTAACCAGGATGACCTGCCACATTCGAACCATGCACCACTGCGAGATCATCGACTCACGCGAGGAACCAGTTCAAACACATCCAGGATTCCAGCAGTAATAACCAGGGTGTCTCAAGGGCTCCACCCGCACGCACCTCTGCAGCTAACCGGCAGTGCGTGCCATGAACATGGCGGGCCAAGTTCGATTCCCGCACAGGGTTCCCCCCGAACGCCTCTCGCCCGCGACGCATTCCCTACCTCGGCACGAGCGGCTTTTCCGGCCGCCCCCTGCGGGTTCCTTGCCACCACCTTCGTCCTCCCGCCACCGCCGCTACCACTGCCGCCGCCGCCACCGCCGCCGCCCTCCGATTCTCGCTCCTTACGCCGCCTCCTGCCGGCACCGGCGGCGTCGGAGCGACCACCGCGCCGCGGTTTCTTCCGCCGAGGGGGCAAAGCGGCGGCGGCGCCGTCGTCGTTGCCGTCGCCGCCATCGCCGTCCTCGTGGCTCTCGCCGCCCTCCGACTGCGCCGGCGCCGCTTTGCCGGAGGCCCTGGGACGACGATCGCGGATCGAGCGGCGGAAACACCGGCTTTGTTTGTGAGCGCTTTACAACCAAAGTTGTTCGTGCAACAGCTCTGTCCGTCCATCTGTAAATATTCTTCTTCTTTCATCTGCCCGTAGGTTCCTTCATTCCATCCATACGTCTGTCTGTCGGTCTGTCTGCCCATCCCGTCTATTATGGGGTGGCGCAATCAGTTCGCGAAAATGCCATCCAATACAAACCAAACTGTAAGATCAAGTTGTGTTGCTATTCGCTAGAGGGACTATTTTAAAGTATGCAAACACATTTATCCCAGGCAGCCACCCATTGGCTTCCCTCCAGCTAATTAAATACTTGGGAGGACAATGCGCACACCCCATCAAAGTATTTTAATGATTTACGTCTTTTTTTAATTTACACATATATGGTGTCCATTCACTCGCCCACTTGCTAGCATGCTAGCCTGCTTCACTCACTTGTCTCCCCCCGAGGAGTCGCAGAGCCGATGGAGAGGAGAGGGGGGACCGCTCGATGCCTGGCGCCGTTTCCTCGGCCGTCCGGGCCCACGCCGTGCCCCACAGCAGCCACGACGCTTCTCATCCCTGACAGAGGAGCGCGTGCACACAAAGATCCCCCGTATAGCCTTAGCAGACTGTTGGGGCAAGTGATTTTAGCGAGCACCTATGAAGGCCGGCACAGCACGCGAGGGGGTGGGTGGCCAGCACCACGCCCGGTCGGCTTTGTCTCCCAAGTGCCAATGTTTACACACCGCACCAGGTACTCATTTGAGGCCGAGTCGACCCAAGAATGGTTCAGATAAATCGTCACCGGTGTTGGCCGTGAGCAGAAATCGAACACCGGCCACCAGGTTCGTAGCGCAGCACGCTATCCGCTACACTACCACGCAGCTTCTCATCCCTGACGGAGGTGCGTGCACACGCACACAAACATAGACACTCACACACCACACAGAGATCAGACTTGTAGCCTGTAACAGCCCTTTTCCACAGGCACATCCGAGCCGAGCACGCGCTGGGCCCTCGCCATTTGGGCGTTTTGAAGTTTTTCCACTGCTCCGCTTGCCGAGCCGCGCCAGAACTAAACTGTGATGTGCCGCTGACCTCATAAGAAGAAGCCTGAATCCGTCTCGGGGCCAAGCAGGTCCCGGAGTGGGGCTGAAGACACTTCCATTGCATGTGATGTCTGCGTCATGGCATGGTTTCTACGGTGCCGAAAACTCTGAGTTGGCGATAGTGGTGGCGCAACGGCGATCGCGGTCGCGCCGGGGACTCACCGCCAGTCACGGCGGCGCTGCAACCGAGCGACGTCGCGCTGTTTGTCGCGGTAGCGGCGCTGAACCTCGGCCAAGCGCACGCGCAGCTCCAGCTCCAGCGGCTCCAGCAGCTCAGGGCCCCCCCTTAGGGGGCACGGCTGTTGAGCGCGGCAGGAGGAAGGGGGGGTTGCAGGCAGGAGTGGAGTGGAGGGGATGGATACAGTTAGCCGTATAGACTAACACACACATATTGATAACAACAACAAAAACAACAAAAACAACTCACACTCGGCATTGTGGAGACACAAGCAACCCGGCATCGCTGATGGCACTGCGCCCCAACAGCCTGTTAAAGGCTGCACGGGGCGGCGTTTGCCATCGCGCGTTCGCCCCGACACCCTCCGGCAAACTCACCGGCTCCTCCTTGCGGGGGCACCAGCACGGCGGGGCCACCGCGGCGGCGGAGGCGGAGGCCGCCACCTTCCGGCGCTTGTCGTTCCACTGACGCACGACTCGCGCGTGCGTCAGCGCCGAGAGGGCGGCGCGCTCGCGCGCGGCCTGCGCCAACTCGGCGCCGGCCACGCCGAGCAGCACCTGCAGGGCCGAGGCGCGACGTCGCGACCCCGGGGTGGCGGCGGCGGTGATACCGCGCGAATCGCCTGGCTGGCAGAAGCCTGGCGATCGAGACAGGGGAGGAGGAGGGGGGTGGGGGTTGCAAATGTCTCGTTCGTATCGGATCGTCTGAGAGCAACCGCTCCTCGCCTTCCCTCCAGCCCATTGTAGAAGAACAGGACAGACGGACAATTGGAGGGACGGAGAGTCTGTGTTCGTTCGGACACGTGGACAAATGCACAAGCAGGCGTACGGACGGACAAACAGGGGGGAAAATGGATGGCAGACACTGACCGGACACAGATAGACAGACACACACAGGGACGATGTATTAATAGGCACACGTACGTACGCAACGGCAGACACACGTGCAGATGCACAGGCGTACAAGCGGAGAGACGTGCAGATAGACGCAAAAAGCGGAGACAAGGATTGATACTCAGACACAGGGACAATTGGGCAGATGAACAGACATAAATCGTGGTTGGATGAGCAAGCGTACACAACGAGAGACACACGCAGGCACACAAAGATGGACGGTTACACTCCCACTCCACACTCTCACACACTGCCTCCCCGCTTCCCTCCCCCGCGCTCTCACCGGTCAGCCCCGTGACGCTCTTGCCATCCATGCGCATGAGCGCCAGCTCGCTGAGCAGCGAGATGCCCTGCAGCCCGGCGAGCCGGTCCCACGGCAGAGGCGCGCCAGCGCCGGGCGCGCACGCCAACCCATCCGGCTCCGGCACCAGCACCGGTTCCGTCTTGCCGAGACACACCATCACCAGCGTGTTGAGGCCGCTCATGGGGTCCTCGGGCTCGAAGCCGAGGCACAGAGACTCGGCGAGACGCGCCAGCGGGCTGTCGTGGAAGTCGCGGCAGCGCGGCCGCACTAGCAGAGCGACCGCCGGCGCCGGCGCCACCGCACAATCATCCTCGCCGCTGTGGCCCTTGAAGACATCACCCGGGTCGACTCGGCCGTCCTTGGCTCTGCGCTGCTCATTCAACGGCGCCGGTGACGGTTTTGCGGCGGCGGTGTCAGCGGCGGCAATGGCGCCAGCGCCGAGCTGTGCGGCGAGCGATTCTGACGACGCCGACGCTGCGACCGCTTCGCACGCGGCTGCGCAACTGCCCGGCTGCTCCAGTTCCGGAGAGGCCGCGTCTCGCCGGCTCACCAGCGCAGGTGGCAAAACGGTCGCCGTCGGCGCCGGCGCCGGGCTCGCGTCTCGAGACGACACGGCCGCTGCCGCTCGCGCCTCCCCCTCTTCCGCCGTCTCCCCTCTCCGTGGCTCCGCAACGATTTCTTTGTCGCCCTCATGCGATCGGACGAGGGCGATCGCGGCGGCATCGCCGCCGTCGTCTTTCCTGCCAGCGCCGGAGTTGGAGCCGGTGGGTGAGGTGGGCGAGGCGGGCGAGGCCGGTGGCGCGGCGCCGGGCGCACGGGACTGCGACGCCGAGTCGAACGGCCGGTGGAGCCGCGCCTCGCCGGGAGACGGGGCGGCGATGGTGGCCGACGCCTCCTCGGCATGGAACGGCGCCTCCGGGAAAGCGGCATTTGCTGACTCCAGCGCAAAGTCTCCCGGTTTGTCTGCGGTTTTCAAAGAAGAAGAAATAAAAAAAATTGATCGTGAGCGACTTCTCAGGGCTTAGTTTCAGCTGGGTCAACGGCCCGGAAAATATCTCCACTCCCAGCATAGCACATCGGAACGGCTTTTCCCATTAATTTCAAACGAAATATGGGAGATGCGCTTCGGACAGTAATTCCAACTACTCCTAACCTAAAAATATATACCACTATGACTTTTCGCAAAACTAAAATAATAATTAGCCAGGAGTTGAATATTTAAACGATTGAATAATAATCAATTTAAAACAACAATAATTAACCTTTTGAATTAACTGAACAAAATATCTGCATTGTTGGAATGGACTGGAAAGGCGTTGTGGAAGCATTACTGTTGCCCTTTAGGGACACCGTGACACTGTCGCGGATGGATGACGCGGCCTCACGGGTGCTTCTTGTTTGATCTCATGGCACGTGCCGTAGTGAAATTTTGTTAATGCAGAAATTCGATTTCGTTAATTGGAAAGTTTCCATAATGTGTCAATTGCGTAAATGCTACATTTCTTAAACCCAACATTCGTAAATCGAGGGATACCTGTATATCTCAGAGAAAGGAAATAACACCACAGGTGGCAGGTGCAGGCACCTCCTCCATAAGTAGCGAATTATTATTGTGATTGTGGTGAAGTCCGATCCTTCACTTATACACCAAATTGTACAGCAGGAGTTACCTCTGCGAGTCTATGGGTCTCTTTTTTGAGTCTTTGTGGATGTGTGGGTCTATATTTGAGTCTAGTGGTCCCTATGTCCACTCACATCACCGACCATTACCCAATGAATGCTTACATGCAAGGAGGTGCATGGCGAGATCTACGACTTACCGAACGCAACACATTCGGTTCGGCTATAAACTTGTCTGTTTATTCTCAAATGCAATGCGAAAGAAGACCTCAAGAGCACGGTGGGGTATCTTCACAAATACTCAAACAAATGCAACAAAAGTTCCTTACTTGGCACTCGGGCCTGGTACGCGGGCGAAGCCTCCCTCCTCGCCTGATCGCCAGCCTGCTCCTGGGGCTCCTGGGCAGGGGAGGGCGAGCGTGCGAGCTGGGCACAGGGGTTGTAGGCCGGAGCAGCCGGCGAGGGAACCGGCGTCGCCCGTGCCACCGCGGGACTCGCCGGCCTCATGTCACTGGGCCGGTAGACCCCGGCCACCACCGCTGACGCGCCCTCCCTGGTCCTGGGGGAGGCTGGTGGCGTGCCGCGGGGGGAGGCCATGACGGTGGCCGTGCGCTCCCGGGCACTGGCGGCGGTGAGGCCCGGCGTGGTGGTTCGGGCCCTGGCTGTGCCCGAGTGCTTCGACGATGACTTTGGCGGCGCCCGGGGCGGCCGGGCGTCGTGGTCCAGATCGATGGTGCCACCACCTCCGCCGCCACCACGGAGCTCAGCCGATGACATCTGCTGTTCCTGTGACACATGCGGAGAGAGAGCGAGAGAGGAGGAATGCACGGAGAGAGAGATCGATCGTCCACGTTAGACAGGAAAACACCTTTAATCCGATACTATTACCTGCACTTATCCACCAAAATATCTCCGCGGTTATCCAAGGATAAATAAACATAATAGGGCAAGTCCTGGTAGGACGTTGGAGTATTTTGGCACTGGCTTAAAGCATGGCTACCTTTCCCGCTCGTCCGTGGTTCCTCCTTGCGCCTCTGAGTTGTTCTGTCTCTGTCATCGGGTGCGAGCGACTACTGTGCCGCAGCACAAAGTTCCAAGTTGAACGTTATTATTTTCTTAAACGCAAATTTGAGCTGTGGCCTGAATCTTCCAAGTCAACCTTGTGTCACAGGCTCGCATCATGAGTTCCCTACGTCAGAGGGGAGCTGACGTTGTTGGTGGCGTGACTATGTAATTCCACATTCAGTAATTTTTTTGCAGCAACCCAACCTCGAGCGCAGGCCCTGCTTGGATGTAGTTCTGGGAAAGCCTTGCCCAACTTGCGCGAAGAGTCGAATAACTCGGCAAAACATGGAAACGCCGCGTGCCGACTCCCCTAGCCAACTAGACTTGCCCTTGAACCACTAGTTCTAGGAGAATCAAACCAACTCCCGCAAGGGGGCAGGCTGGGGGGGGGGGGGGGGGCGTATGCACATTTTTTTTTAACCATCAAAAGGTTTTCTTTTATAAATATTTCAATTAAAAAAATACGTCACAAGGGGTGGGCAGGAGGGGGATCGGGGGGGGGGGGGGTCGGGGACCGTGAGATTATGAACCCAATGCTGAGCCGCTCCTCCTTCCCGTACCCACCCTGGGATGCACCACCAAAGCCAAGTCGAGTTCCAACGCGCTCAACTTATTTCATCTCACGGGAACGCGGCGCGAGACACTCACCTGCGCATGCAGGCTCCTGTGCATTTCCAGCGCCTGCTGCTGCTGGTGCTGCTGGTGCAGCTGCTGGTGCTGGTGGTGGAGGAACATAAGCTCATGCTGCCGCTGCAGCAGCTGCTGGTGCGAGAGGAAGTGGTGCAGCGAGGGAGCGTCGTGCAGACCGGCTGAGGCGGGCGAAGCGCCGGGGTACATGGGTGGCCACAGCGTGTGCGCGCGGTCCACCAACTCCGCTGTACACGCACGCACACACGCATACGTGCACACGCGCGCGTGTACACGCAGGTAAACGACAAAGGCAAAAATCCCCACCGTGTACCCTTCATTCGAAAGGCTGTTGAGGAACATGTTGTCGGCGAGATAATGTGGCCAGCACCACACCCAGCCACGTTGGTTGACACTGAACCGGGTACTCATTTAAGACCGCGTCGACGTAGGGGAGGTCCCAGAACCACTTCAGATTTTCCCCACTGATATTGGTCGCGTGTCTGGTTGCCGGGTGGAAGAACACAGGCACACACACAAATATGCTAATGCATGCGCGCAAGCACACACAGATAATCACACACACGGATAATCACACACATATCTATATGTACGTACAAGCATGCATACAATAGCACACTTACGCGCATGCACACACACACGCGCGCGTGCGCGCACCCATACACGCGCGCGCGCCATCATTAAAAACTGCAGACAGTGACCGTGAAGACCCCATTCACGAAACATTTCCCCCTAATGACGGCAGAGATCAGTGGACGCAGTTTGGTTAGAGAGAGAGAGGGGTAGGGAGAGCGAGCGAGCGAACGGGAAACGGAGCGAGCAAACGCTGCACGGAGAGAGGGAGAGAAGAGATGGAAACGGAGCAGAAAAAAAATAGAAATCACAGACAGAGTCATCACGCCCAATAACCTTCACGCAACGATCACGGCCAATACAAATACCCAGAAGCTGTTATTTATTCATGTTTAATAGACACTGAGCAAGAACGGGCGGCAGCAGCAGCATTAGGAGATCGCCAGTGCTCGACACACTTGCCAGTCATCCTGGCAGTGCCAAAGTGGAGAAAATAGTCTACATTTCATGCATATATGTATATATATTTGTAAAATAATTAAATAGTAAAATATGGCCCGGGCAGAAGATTAATCTGTTTCCACGTGAAAGCATGTGTGTGCGTGTTGTGTTGACGTCGTCATAATGATGATAAGGAAGATGATTATTACGATAATTATCAGAAGCTTTCATCAGCAGAAGAAACACTGGCTGAACTGTCATTATCATCATCAGCAGCAATCACAACTTCGATTAGCATGACCATTACCATCATCATCATCACCACGTATAATATCATAATTACAAAAAACCAGCATGATTATCAGAACTGCGATCTGCATATTCTATATCCTGTATATAAAATCGGCGACGTTCCGGCAATGGTCCTTCTTCATGTGTTATAAAGAAGGGTGATTGCCCGAAACGTTACCTTTAATTTATTTGTTTCTTTTAAGGCAGCAGTACCGTTCACGAGTGCTTTGAGGTTTTACGTTTGTTTGTTTGTTTGTTTTTTGCTGTCAAGGCGCAGAGAACATCCATCGCGGACGGAAACGGAGTCAATCTGCGTGTCAATGCGAGCGCTCCGGCTGCTCACGCACGTGTGCACCGTACACTCTTCAGCACGGCAAGCCGTTTTTTTATTCTAAAACCGTCATCCTTCACCGCCGCGCAATTCTCTCACCCGCTTCGGCTGTTGCCACCTTCTCCAAAAAAGAATACCAATGATGCATCGGCAATAAGCAGCAGTTGCGGCACACCACGTGATTCAGGCGCGTGCACGTCGGAGCGAGAGGCGGATCGCGAAATTGCAGGACCGTGAGAGACGGCGACTCCTCGGGGAGGCCTCCGTCCAGCAGCGGATCGATCGTGTCACAATATCAAACCGAGCACCTGGGCAAGAGCCCATATCGCCCACTCCATCTACCCCGTGGAAGAAGTCCACTCGGACGCACACCGTTCATCGGCTGCTTCTCCGTTACGATTGTTATTGACCTTCGGCCCGCCGCCCCCAACTTGTTTATACAGCGTTCTGGCAATTAATGGCGTTGGACAAACATCCGAATATCGGATCACAGAGCTTGGGCAATTGTTGGCGCCAGTTCTGGCTGTCATCTCCCTCCCCCCCCACCACCGCTTGTCTGCGGTTTTCCCTGCCGAGTGACCGCGCGCGTTACAAATTCCACAGCGGTGAGATGCGGCGACATATAGTTTTGGCTGTTGCCTGATGATGCTGGTTGTAATTGGCGGTGGGTTTAAGTCTCCAACGCACCGGTGTGCTGAACTAGTAACTAATTGGCACGTTTTGTTTACGTGACAAACCTTACTAATTGACTGTGTCGCGTGGTGGCGGGTTTAACGACACCACATTTATAATTTCCGCGATGCAACCCAAAAAAAAATGGAAACCTCTATTATGGATATATATTATTAATATAATGTATCGGTCGCGCTCACCAAAGTGTGGGGGCGGGGGCTCCGCGGGGATGAACAGCAGGTGGCCCGACTGGGGATCCTGGGCGATCTGGTAGCCCTTCTGGGAGATGGGCACCGCGCCGGGGAGGCTGGGCGGGTACCCGACGGGGAGGCCCTGTGCCATGGACGCGTGGCTAAGACCTGCGAGCGCACGCACACACGCACACACACGCACACACACACACACGCACACACACACATGCACACACTCACACACGCGCACACACACACGCACACACGCACACAACAATGACAAAGATCCTAGAGGCTGTTGGGGCAAGTCGCTGATGTTGATCACGAGTGGGAATTGAACTCGCTGCGCTGCTGATATCCACCGTAAACAAAGACGAAGATCACCCGAATAGCCTTAACAGGCTTTTGGGGCAAGTGCTGTTAGCGAGCAGCACCTCTGAAGGCCGGCACGGCGCACGAGGCGGGTGGGTGGCCAGCATCCTCGCCCGACCGCCTTTGTCTCCCCGGTGACGATGTTTACACATCGCACTGGGTACTCACTTGAGGCTGAGTCGACCTAGGGGAGGCCCAGGACCGGCTTAGATATTCGTCTCTGGTGTTGGCAATCGAACTCGGGTGGCCGGGTTCGTGGCGCAGCGCGACAACCGCTACACCACCGGTGCCCATGCACACCTCACCGCGGGCACTTGTGGCAGGCTACGTGCACTTTAACACCACACACGGTGATGCGACCGCGAGTGAGACCGGCAGTGAGGCCGGTAGTGCACTTGGTAATGTGACCAGCAGTGCGGCCCATAGTGTGGCCGAGAGTGTGACGGGCAGTGTGACTGGCAGTGCCTCGGCTGTATCCCCTACCGTAGTAGGGCGATCCGGGCCACATGGTGGAGGGGCTGCACGCGCCCGCCACCCAGCTGTGGTGGGCCATGTGGGGCGGCTGGTGCGACGGGTCGGGCGGCGGCACCCACTGCCCGCCGGCCACCCCGGCGGGTCCGCTGCCGGGCCCCGGCACGCCCCCCACCGCGCCGGGCGGGCCTGCGCCCAGCAGGCGGCCGCCCCCGCCGGCGCCCCCGAGGCCGGACTTGGCCAAGTCGAGGCCCGGCAGCGAGGGGGCGCCGAGACGGCCCAGGTCCGGTAGTCCAGCGGTGTCCCTGTGTCGAGAGCGGCGGGGGCACGGGGGGTGGGGGTATATTTGAGTCTCTATCGTCTGCACAGCCTTAACAGACTGTTGGTGCAAGTGCTGTTAGTGTGTGTGTAGTGGTTAGCCCATTGCGCTACGAACCCGGCGACCCGAGATCGATTCCCGCTCATGGCTAACACCAGAGCCGGTTATCTGAACCGGTCCTGGGCCTCCCCCCGGTCGACTCAGCCTCAAATGAGTATCTGGTGCGGTGTGTAAAAACATCGCCACTGGGGATACAAAGGCGGTCGGGCGTGGTGTTGGCCACCCACCCCTTTGTGTACCGTGCTAGCCTTCATAGGTGCTCGCCAGAGGTGGGACAAAGTCATTGTTATGCAAGTCCAAGTCGAGTCTGAAGTCATCAAATTCATGACTCGAGCCTGACTCGAGTCCAAGTCACATGACTCGAGTCCACACCTCTGGTGCTCGCTAACACCACTTGCCCCAAGTCTGCTCGGGATATATATTTATTTATATATTTGCGTGTCCAAATACGCAGGGCCGGTTGCGACGTTTCTCCAGTGACACATGTTCCCTGGCCGTTCCCCACGGCCAGGGAACATGTGGAGCACCGCGCAACGGGATCCTGGCAGGGACCCTTCCCCAATGCGATAACCATCAACCACACATCGTGAATGCAGCCCGCCCCATCCCCACATCCCTCCTCTCCCCCCTGCCACCGTCACCCCGCAACCAAAACCCGCAACCCCACGGATTTGGGCTGTGCTCGCGTTATTTGCCAGCTCTGGGCATGCGGTGGCGGCGGTCGCGGCGGCGGTGGCAGGGTGAGAAGTTTGCTCGGTTTGCCGACTAATTTGGCGGAGGAAGCTTGGCCAGACCTCCCCTCGCGGCAACCGCGCACGTGTGTGTCGTGTGTGTGTCGCGTGTGTGTGTGTGTCGTGTGTGTGTGTGTGTGTCGCGTGTGTGTGTGTGTCGTGTGTGTGTGTGCGTCGTGTGTGTGTGTGTGTCGCGTGTGTATGTGTGTCGTGTGTGTGTGTGCGTCGTGTGTGTGTGTCGCGTGTGTGTGTGTGTCGTGTGTGTCGCGTGTGTGTGTGTGTCGCGTGTGTGTGTCGTGTGTGTGTCGTGCGTGTCGTGTGTATGTGTGTCGTGTGTGTGTGTGCGTCGTGTGTGTTGTGTGTGTGTGTGTTCGTTTGCATTCCCCCCGCCTGCTGTTCGCTCACTCAACCGCTCACCCCATCACCTGCTCACTCACCCCATTACCCATTCTCGCACCAAACTGCTCACCCCATCACCCGCTCACTCACCCAACTGCTCACCCGATCGCCCGGTTACTCACCCAACTGCTCTTATTTCCCACTCACTCACTCACCCAAACACCCACCCAAACACCCAAACACTCACACACTCAACTGCTCACCCAATTGGCCAACAGCTCGCCCAACCAACCACTCGCCAGCTCACTCACCCAATCACATGCCCACACTCACAACCGCTCGCACGCTCATCTGTGAGTGTTGGGATGCTGGAAAGCTCTCCCAGGGTGTCGTGACCGCTGATGGTGCCAACTCTGTCAGCTGCAACCTCCCCTCCCAGCCTCCCATCTATCCACCCTCCCCTTTAGTTCCAGCCACCAGTAATCCCGGCAGTCACTAGCTTCACCAGCCGCTCGCTTAACCAGCCAAAAGCTTAGTCAGTCGCTAGCTTAACCAGTTGCTGATTAACCCACCGCCAGCTGAAACCAATCGCCAGCTTAAGCAGTCAGGAGATTAACTTGGAATTCCCTCCCATCGTGTCTCTTCCTTAACTCATAACCTTGCTCATTTTAAGCAACATGTTGCACTCGTATCTAATTCAACTCTGAGAGTTGCTGTTTGCTGCTGGCTACTTGACGTTTTGGACCATCGGGCACCTGCTCTACAACAACAAAACGTTGATTCTAGATTTGAAGCTTTCGTGACTGCAAGGATTCATATTCTTAGTTTTTTTCAGTAAAGTCACGTAGGTAAAAATTTAAATTAATAAAAGTAAAATAAAATAAAAATCACGACGTTTCGGAGGCAACACAAGCTTCCGTCTTCATGGTGGAACCGTCACAGCACGATAGCTGTATCAAGTAAGAGAAATTCCAAGAAAACAGTCCTTGTATATACAGTATCCTGGTTGAGGGTGGGAGGAGCCAAGGTAGGCCCTGGATATTATTTTATTTTAATTTTACTTTTATTAATTTTAATTTTTACCTACGTGACTTTACCGAAAAAAGCTAAGAATAACAAAACATTGCTTCACCAAACTGAACAGTCCTAACCGGCCGTGAGCTTCACCAGCCACTAGCCTAACCGGCCAATGGATAGTGCTACTCCAAGCCGAACCGACTTTTCTTTTCTTGGGGTGGTCCTGACGTGAAATATTCATGAAGCTGGATAGTCCATAGCACTTAACACGTGGGGGTGGGGGGGGGTGAGGAGGAAGCCACGGTGTCATGATAATGAACGCACGCAAATTAGAGAATTACACCCGGACAGCGCGACAGATAGGTCACCGCCTCACAACGTGACATCGATAGCCACGGTCAGGTCACGTGACGCACCTGAGCCAATTAGGGAGGCGTCCCTATCCTGCGTAGGTTATGGGGGTTGTTCGACCGTACTTCTGACCAACGCGTAAACATGGCCGCCGTGTCTATGGAGCGCCTTGAGGAGGATGTGGATGCGCTTAGAAGATTGAGCGACAGAAGCTGTTCGCGAGAGATGGCAGGTGTCACAACGTGCAGTATTACTGCCTTGGACTATAAACACAGCCACAAAGACAAAGGTCACCCGTACAGCCTCTAACGGTCTGCTGGGTCAAGCGCTGTGAGCGAGCACCTATGAAGGCCAGCACGGTACACGAAGGGGCGGGTGGCTAGCACCACGCTCGGCCGCCTTTGTCTCCCCAGTGCTGTTTACACACCGCACCGAGTACTCGTTTCAGTCTGAGTCGACCTAGAGGAGGCCCAGAACCGGTTCAGGTATTCATCACAGGTGTTGTGCGTGCGTGGCCCAAGACCAGTTCAGACATCAGTCACCGACGTCGGCTCCCCACGTACACACACAGCGACACGCAAACAGCGACACGCGCAGATACAGGTACACACATAAGTACACACACATCTACACAACAATAACAACAGCCACCATTCCCCACTGAGTGGCGGTGACGTCACAACGGAACTTGTGTGTGTGAATATACACGCACGCAGACACGTACACATATGTATGCACACACACACGCGCGTACAGGTATTTACGCATATCTGGCTAAGCACTTTAGTTACCACTCCCGTCTGTTGCTCTTTCGCAGAGCGACGCGCCTCCCAAAGTGCCTCTCGTAACGCCTCACTTAGCCAAATTAACATTGACGAGCCACTCGCCGCATGCTTCACGACTGGAAGTTGTGGCCCAGCCGGGCCGGTGGGGCAAAAAGGTGGGTACCCATCACACAGACACACTCACAGACACACACAGACACACACCGCACGGGCAACTTTAACCTGCCCAGGTGTGGCATCGTCTGCTGATGAACTCCAACGTCCGTAGCTTAATGTAATACAGCCGTCACGTAAGACTTAACCTTGACATTAGACTTAACCTTGACATAAGACTTAACCTTGACATAAGACTAACCCCAACGACGCCGAAATGCGTCAGGTACTACTTTATAACTCGAACTAGGATCCGCATCGTATCGATCGACAGTTTGGCTCCCCACATATCCCCCCCCCCCCGCCCTCCGCCAAGTCGCTACGCACCTGAGGCTCGCCGCTTTGTGCCGCTCCCGTTCGTACCGCGAGCCCAGCCGCTCGTCGGAGGCGCGGGACGGCCGCTCCTCGTCCGCCCGCTCCGCATCGTAGCCGTCCAGACCCCCCCGGGCAGCTCCTGGAGACGGCGAGGATGGAGGCACGAGGTCAAAAGAGGAGATCACTCGTGCAGCCTTGAGAGACCGCTGGGGCAAGCGCCACGCGCGAGCACGTGTTGACGCCGGCGCGGACACAACGACAATGCGGCGTGGCCGCCTCCACGCACGACCGACTCTTTCTCCCCGTTTATGGCCGAGTCGACCTAGGGGAGGCCCCGGACCGTTTCAGATATCGTCCGTGCACTGACGTGGCCGTGGGCTGGAAAATTCAATTGAAATGGGCGCATTCGTATAAGACGGCACGCTAACCGCTGCGCCACCGCTCCATCCCGTTGTCACTCCGATGCCGGGCGCAGGACTTCCCCGCCGATCACGGCAGGGGGTTGTCCGACCGTACTTCGCTGGTCAACGAAAGTGGGAGCGGGGGGGAGGGGGGATTGTACCAGGCAGTCCTGACGTAGCCGAGTGGGGCCTCTGCTCCCGGAGGTCGCGGAGGTCACGGAGGTCACCGGGGGTCGCAGGGCCCCCTCCACCGCCGACCCGCTGGCGAGCCAGGGCGACGGCGATGCCCACGGGTGGGCAGCGGACCTCGCTCTCGCTGGTGCCGCGGCCAGAGCCCTCCTTGCTGCGGCCGCGGGGCTGCTCCGACCTGCGGGAGACGCCCATCGTGGTTGGTCAAGAATTCGTTTTTTTGCTAAATCATCATCGTCAAGATCCATGGGCAGAGAGCCCGTGGGTGTCCACTGCACACCTTGTCGTTTGTTCCCACTTCCCTCTGTCTTGTGCCAGCACGCTCAAGCAGTGCACATTCTAATAAATACATTTAACAACAAACGGGGTAGGACGCTGGCCAAGGGCGACACTGCAAACGCCGGGTGGTGCGTTCATTGCCGGAGCGCGCCATGCGTCGGATAAGGTGAAATGAAGAAAACTCGAGAATGCCGCCACCATTGCGTTAAGACGACGATCGCACTCGGCTGAGCCACACACTCGTGGTGAGCACGCCGAGCTGGTGAAATCTGGGCGAGTACTTGGATTGGGTGACCACCATCACCAGGGCTTGCCAGGTGTTGTAAGTTTTCGGGGCTGTGAGCTGCGGTTAGGGGGTGCCAGTGCTGAATGGTATCAAACCCCTCATGTACGGCAGTGCAGTGCCGGGCGTTCTTCGGTTTCCTCCTCCAACACGAAGACAAACCCTCACTGCAATGGCATGCATGGCCAAACATCTCAATGGAGCAGGACCCTCTTGAAAACGAGTCCTGAGGCTCGGTGAAGCGTTCATGGATAAGTAAAAAGGGAAGGGAAAGTGTGGGGTGGACTGGAAGAGGTGGAAGAGTAGACAGAATACACCACCACGCTGGGAGGGTCCCTCTAGAGCTCCCTCGAGTGGAGGTCCTTCCACCATTTATATTATTCATATTATGTGTGTATATATATGAATTCCATTTTTTATCATGATTGTCATTAGAGAAACCAAAAATGCACCGAGTAATACTACTGTGGCCCTTTAAGAACAAAAATACATTAATGGTAATGTTTAACTCCATACAAATGGAAACAGATGGCGATTAGTCCACTTGCTGCACTGCCTCCTGCTGGCGAGCCAGGAATCGGCACATCCTCGACTCCCAGGGGAAGTGAGTTTCACAACGTTTGTGTGCGGTGATCCAGGAACTCTCGCTGTTGCCTTCCACAGCGTGGGACTACAGGTAGCCGCGCCCAGCATCATAGCCGCCACCACCACCACCACCATCATTAGCATTACTAATATGAAACAGCTGCCCCAGTAGACAAGAACGCACATCTTCTGCAAACACACAAATAGAATCGGCAGTGGAACAATGGATGAATCCTCACTTCACCCGGCAGCTAAATCTAACATGATCCCTAACCTCATGCCCGGCGCTTTACCCTCACCCAAACAGATTTATGCGGAATGGTTTTGCTATTCATGGGAAAACATTCAGTGCGTGTGCGAGTGTATTATATATATAACGCGCGCAATCCGACACCACACCAAAGTGTCGCCAAAGTGTTCATCGCTTCATCGTCAGCTTCGCTCAAGAGAGAAAAAATATATATATATTCTTGGCATTTAAGAATATAATGGAGTAGAATGAAACCCTAAGTCCCCCCCCCTCCCCCCATTCCCCCCCTCCCCCCATCCCCCCCTCCCCCCACCGGTCCTGCGAGCGGAAGAGCAGCAGTCACGGCCGGGCGGCTTCGCGGTGGAGCGAGTGGCTCGCAACCGGAAGGTCGCGAGGTCACATCCTGGTTTGTAGGGAGGGGGGGGGGGTTTGACTCATGCTCATCATCTCTCCCACCGGGGGTCGATCAAATGAGAGGTTCTTGTCCTCCCCACCCCGCCATAGGATCGTGGAATTTCCACCACTTAATCGGGGCTGTAAATTGGGAATTTTACACCGACACCTCGATGCTCGTTGGAGCGGGAAGTCACTTGTGACTTTTTTTTATCTTAATTAAAGAATTAAGTAATATTCCCTAAATTGCAGACATTAAGGCGTGATGGCAACTTGGTCACAGAGCAAGCAATGGAAATGAGCTGCAGGAGATGACTGGACAATGTGCATATTTGAGGAGATCAGGGTGGGCTCAGGATAAAGTTTGCGAACCAACTCGGGACCATCTGCTGAAGGGACACTTCCGATTAGCATGGTTGGCTACGTGCGGTGCGAAAGAAGTTCAACAATACGTACGTACACACCACAGTGTAAGGGGTGCATAGAGCAGCTACTGAAGGCTGAGCTGCATCAAAGTGATGAAACAGAGAGGGCGGGCAGACGAAAGCCGGTCGGAGTGCGATCGGAAGAATGAAAGTTAGCAATGAGAAGCGCCAACACCAATGAGCTTTGAGGAGGCGCTTAGCACCTACCGTCACGTACGGATCGGTCGCACAGACGCCGACAACCGCTACGAGAAACAACTTGGAACGAAATTTAGAAAGTTGTGCAAAGAAGCAACCGACAGGCACAACGCTTGGAATGATTACCTTGACAGACAGAGAGAAGAACCCGTGGATTGGCAACGGGAGAATATGTGTGTGCTCAGATCATCGTGTTGGCTGCAAATGAAAGCAAGTGCGCTTGGGGTGGGAGACAGCACGAGGGGAGGTAGAGGGAGCCCCGTCCGAGAGATACGTCCACCATGGAGACGGAGCGACAAAACCACTGGCAGGGTGAGTGGCACGAGTTTGCACACCTGTCTGCTCCCCGCCGAGACTGGGTGGCCTCGCTCAGAGCCGCCGCTGCCGTCGCCGCCGCCGCCGACGACGAAGGGGCCGAGGACGATGTGGGCAGTGGTGGTGCGCCGTGCGGGTGCCCGTGGGGGTGCCCGTGGGGGTGCCCGTGGGGGTGCCCGCCAGCGGCCCCGCGGACGTTGGCGAGGCCCCCGAAGGGGCTGCGTCGCCCGGCCAGCACCCGCGCCTCGGCCTCGCGCGAGAACGAGCCGGTGTAGCGCAGCAGCCCCCGCATGGCCGACGCCTCGGGGCTGACGGGTGCCGGCGGTGGCTCGCTGCCCTCGCGTGTCACCCCGGACCCTCCGCCGCCGCCGCCGCCTCCTGGCACCAGCACCGAGCGCCGGCTGATGAGCGCCGGGCCCGGCCACTCCACGGCGGAGTCGCCGCTCGCTTTGACCTGGCCGGACGACGACGAGAGCAGCGGCGGCGGCGGTGGCGGCGGCGCCGATGTCACTCCGCCGCTCGCGCACGCCCCGTAGCGCCCGTAGCCGCTCCCCGCCGCCAGGCTGCCGTCCGGGTCCATGGCGCCGCCGCCGCGGCACTGCTGGTCGGCGCTCGCCGACGTCCTGGCTTGCGGGGGCTCGAAGCGCCGGCATGGCTGGGGGGGGTCCTGTCTGTCCCCGACGCCGGCGCCGTCCGACTGCCGGTCGGACCGCGTGTCTGCCGGCGCCCTCGCCAGCGCTTTGAGCGAGCGCTCAAAGCGCCCGTCCCTGTGCTCGCGCCCACCCCCGCCCGAGGGCCAAGCGCCGGAGCCGTCCGCAGCGCCACCCGCGCCGTGGTCGCCCCTGCTTCGGCAGCTCCCGCCGGAGTCGAATTTGATCACCGAACCGCCACCGCCGCCACCCCCGTCGTGCTTTTGCTCGCACGCGGCATCTGCCGGGTCGGCGCCGTGCCCCTCGGCGATGGCGTCGGCCTCCCTCCTCCTCTCGCGATCGCGGTGAGTGGCGGCGGCGGCGGTGGTGGCGGCGCCATACGCGGCGGCGTGGGTGGGGCTCGGGTGCCCCACCGACGGCACGAACATGGGCGCGATGACGCGGTGCCGCGCCGACCCGCCGCTACCGCCGCCACCGCCGCTCCCGCCGCCGCTGCCGATTCCCCCGGTCGCCACCGTCTGCGCGGAGCTCGTGGAGGAGTGGATTGAGAAGCTGCCAGACGTGACCTGAAGCCTCGCGGGCGACGGCCCCTCGGCTCGAGTCCTCAACGCCGATGACGACGACGGCAGTGACGACGACGACGTGACGTAAGGGCCGCCTCCTTTATCCTGCGCGTGAGCGTCCGTGTCGCCGCATTTCCGGTCCGTGCCGTTAACGAACGACGAGGAGGAGGACGGCGGCGGCAGGGCGGCACCGCTCTTCCCGGCGCTTCCCGACGTCTCCCTTCCGGCGGAGCCGGGGTGGTGAGACTTCGCGTTCTGCTGCTGGTGCCCGGGCAGCGCCGCCGCCGCCGCGGCCGCTGCCGCCGCTCCCCTGCAACTCCTGAGTTCGCCCTCCTCCCCGGACTCGCTCGTCAGGTCGATGACACACTTGGAGCGCGCCCGGGCTTCCTCCCGCTTCTCGGAGCGCTCCCGCTCCCGCTCGCGGCGGTGCGCTGATGCGGCGGCGGCGGCGGCGCCGTCCGTCTTGCCGGCGCGGCTCAGGCCGGGCCGCTCGGAGCCCTTCTGTGGCCACGCGGCGGCCGCCTCCTTGGTGTCGCGGGACGAGATGAGCGTGGGGCCCGAGGGCGGCTGGGCCGGAGCGCCGCGGGGGACGATGCTCGCGTGGCTCGCGTGGGCAGAAAGGCTGCTCATGTAGTAGCCGTCTGGGATGCGGTGGGGGAGGAGAAGGTGGGGATAATGTAAATTATAATAACAATTGCTACATCGTACTGCTACCTACCCCGATTTGTTTCGATCGGGGGAAGGGGGGAGGCGGGGAGGGGTGGGAGAGCAGCAAAGTGAGAATAAAATGAAGCCGAGTTTGAACTTTACTTGGCAGAATCTCATCCGCAATAGTCCACGTGGGTGTGAAGGTTTTGGGGTGCATGGGATCTGGGGATCGGGGTAGGCACTCGTCTCGATGCTCTCGAGCAAATACAGTGCCGGCGGATCTGTCGCGACTTTACACAAGGCGGACGAAAATACAATATTACAATAGTTCGTATCCTTACATTTGAGACGGCGAGCACTGATGACGGCGAGCCTTTCCGACCCGCAAAAGTCAACGGCTTGCGTTTTTGAAGAAAACGGAAATAAATTTGCGCGGTCCCCGTCCCACAAAAATAAAAGTTTTCCTTTTTTTGATTTTGTGATCGTCCCTCCTTCCGCCAATCGTAGCACGGCAATAGTCTTTGGCCTTCCTGACAAGAAACCGTACACATCAGCTCCGGCTGCCCCGCGTGATCACAGGGCCCAAATATGCAACCCAACGAGAGAAAAAAAAAACATCAAACGACCGCATTCTCCCGGCACCTTTGAAGTCCGAGTGACAAAGCAAGAGGCAACTCGACGGGGCCAGGCGCGAGCTCGAGTGGCCACTACGCTCGAGAGGGCCACTGCCACCACTGTCGCTCGGTGGTAGTGGCGGTAGTGGTGGTGGTCGACATGATGGTGGTGGTGGACATGATGGTGGTGGCGGTGGTAGTTGGTGGTGGTGTTAGTGATGGTGATGGTGCAGCTGTTGGAACTACGGTGCAATTTTCTAAATTCCCCCCCACCCCACCCCTCCTACCACCACCAGCACTACCACCACCACCACCTCCGTCCACCCAGCGGTGATGAGAGCAAGCATTGCTCTGTTTGGAAGAATCGAGTGGGAGAGTGCTGACCACCACTGTGTGGACCAGAGGGCACTTAAAGGGTTCCCAGAGGTCTCTCTGTGATATCCGTGTGTCCGTGTGACCGTTGCTCTCACACAGAGTGCCGCGCTGCTCAGAGAGACTTCGGAGGCTGATCCAGATTGGCGACAGGACGCGGCTGAGAGAAGAAGGCGAGAGGGTGAACTTTTTTTTCACCCCTGGTGATGGCACGGATTCTGTACGTCTAGGTGCCAGGGCTTTGGCGAGCAGTCAGGGCGGTTACCTTTGGGCAAGTCGTGCACTCGGGACTGTCCGTACGCGGCGAGGAAGGGGTTCACGGAGGGCGACTGATCCAGCGACACGAGCGGGAGGTACGGGGAGTAGACTCCGGCGGACAGACGAGACAGTCCTGCAAAGGGAAAGACAAAAAGGCAAAGATCCCCCGTGTAGCCTTTGACACACTATTGGGGCAAGGGCTGCTCGCGAGAGACCAGACACCGTACGTACAGATTCGTACGTGCTTAATCGTACAAACATGCATACGAAGACACACACGTGCACGCATGCACAAGAGCAGACATGAACATCCCTGTATAGCTTCGAACAGACTGTTGGGGCGAGCGGTGTTAGCGAGCACCTATTAATGCCGACACGGCGCACACTGCAGCGGTGTGGCCATCAGCACCACGCGCAATCACCCTTTGTCTCCCCATTCCTTCGGATCCAAAACCAATACCAATCTCGCTCGACCAACGTCGACCAGCACAGCGGTAGCATGGTCAGACCTTCGGATGTTATTACGATTATAATAATAATATCCGCCAGGTGAACATATGACGGAGCCGTGTGGGCGGCTGTTAAGCACAACAACCCTCGCCGCACAGCGACGTCGTGTCCCTTGCAAAGTCCACGTGACGCCCGTTACGACGCCCATTTACAAAAAACACGCCGGCGTCGTGATGAAGAACTGGATGCCATTATGAGAAACGCGCCGCGCGATCTAGACGCCGCCAGGAGTGATGAAAAGCCGGGGCCGCGTGATGGAGAGCGGCTGCTGTGATGGAGAACGAGCGATATTACGAAATAATCATTAAAACGCACCCAGGACACGCGCGCGCGCAAAAATAAAAATAAAGGGAGGGGGGAAAAAATTGGTGCCGCGAAGCAACTTCCAGTTACGACGAAGGTGATGAAGTGGGCGCGTGAAGAAAATGTATCAACACATATTGCCGCGCGCGTACGCGCTTGTGTGCGTGTGTGTGTGTTTACTGTAGGGGGGAACAGCAGTGCATCGGTTAGCGCGCTGCACGACGAAACCGGCGACCCCGAGTTCGATTCCCGCTCACGTCCAACACCAGTGACGATTATCTGAACTGGTCCTGGGCCTCCCCTAGTTCCACTCAACCTCAAATGAGTCCCTGATGCGATGTGTAAACATAGCCACTAGGGATACAAAAGCAGTCGACGATCGGGCGTGGTGATGTTAGCTATGCATCCTCTTGTCTGCCGTGCCGGCCTTCATAGGTGCTCGCGAACAGCACTTGTCCCAACAGTCTGTTAAGGCTATACAGGTGATCTTTGTCAATGTATTTGTTTACAGTGGGTAGCGGCGGCACAGCGGCTATCGCGCTGTGCTACTAACCCGGCGACCCTGAGTTTAATTCCCACTCGTGAACACCATCAGCGACGAATATCTGAACCGGTCCTGGGCCTCCCCTGGGTCAACTCAGCCTCAAATGCGTACCCCGTGCCGCGTGTGTAAACATCGGCACCGGGGAGAGCACGGGGGCGGTGCGCTGTGCCACGTTCACCTTCACAGGTGCCAACCGTCAACAGCACCAGCCGGTGACGGCCTGGCTTCGACTGATGGGCGGGGGGGCGGGGGAAGGCACGCATCTTGCCCGCACGCATGTGTACCGTGCGTTGGCACATCTGTGAGTAATTGCCGCGGGCTCCTATGAATTACCGGCTATTCGCCCCGAACCGTAAGCACCTAGGCGTCTGTGCGGTAAAGGTGCGTCGACAGATTATCCTCGGCAGCGTCGCTTTATCGTCACAATTAATAAGAAAAAAAACCTAAATGCAAATTCGCTAAAACGCTGCGCGCACTTAGACGGGGGGGGGGGGGGATTTGGATCTCCGTGCGCACCGGCCGGGTCCGCGTGATCGGTAATCACCACGCGAGGGGCCCGGCGGGGCATCCCTCACCGCCGAGACCTGCGTGCCGGCGAGCACGGCGTCGACATCGCCCCGTTAATGGGACGTATAAATTATCCGGGATGCTGCCGCGCCGCGTAATGGAGCGGGGCGCAACGGACTTGGCGATGCGGAGGGACGTCGGTTCAATTCCATCTCTCCGGATTGAGGGGTGGGGGGATGGGGGGTTGTGGGGGGGGGGCACGGGGACGAGGAGCCACAACGAGCAACTCTGGACGCGAATCGACTCGTTCATTGCATGAAGGAACAAAACAAAAAAAACCACCTGGTTCGGCCAAACAGCCCTGGCATGGCTCGGACGTGCCAGTGGAAAAGACGGCGTGGTACCAGCGAACCTCTGCTCACCTTCTGACTGTGCCGCCCAGTAATCGGCGAGACCAGGGATGCCCGGGGCGCCATGTGGGTTCGGTCCCTGGCGGTACGAGGGGGGCTCCGCCGATGCCGGGCAAGGGGGTCCGCTGGCCAGGTACGAGCTCAGGTAGGGGGATGAACCCCCCAGGTAGGCGCTCCCTGCACACACAGGCACGGCAGGGAGGAAGGGAAGAGGCGCAGGGAGTCAGGCATCGTCCGGGACAACAGGGTGACGCAGTGGTAACTGCTCGCGCCTCACAGCAAGAAGCGTCCTGGGTTTAATTCCCGACTCGGGCGCCAGTCCCGCGTGGAGTTTGTATGTACTCCCCGGTCGTGCGTGGGCTCCCTCCGGGATCTCCAGCTCTCTCCCATGGCTAAACTAGACACGCAATGTCGCTGGTGTTGGACAAGCAATATCCCAATTGCTGAAAAATGACACTGCTAATTACTCAAATGTAATTACACATTCTCAACCCCCCCCCCCCCCCCCACCCCCATCTTGTAAAACTCTTAGCAGGACTCTCCTGAAAAAAGATATTCTTGGGACTCAGTGGGGCCTTCATGCGTAAACGGTCGTAAGTAACTTCAATAGCAAATAGCAACCGTCTAAATCATCATCATCATCATCGCTCTCTCTCCAATGTATTTTTCATTCAATTCCTCCCGTGGAACGGAACGTCGGACATCGTCCCGAGCAACGCGCGGCACCGCCCGACGAAACGCCGCCGGAAAGCTACGCAGCAGCACGCGGTGGTCATCGTCAGCCATGGTCTATCCACTGCTCGATTAAGGCCTCTCCATGCCTCTCCCCGGCGTGGTTTGTAAACATCAGCATGTACGCATATGACCCTGAAAAGTGCAAAGCGTGACTTCCAATTGTAAGTCAGTCAATCCCTCTGCTTTGTACCTCTCTCTATGTCTGCTCTGGAGAAGGGTCATTGGCTGAAACGTCAGCCTACGATACGTGTTTTCTGGTATAAGGCAGTGCTCCCAACGAATGTGATGGGTGGCTTGTGTTACTCGCGCACGATTCAGATTATTTGCCGCTTTCGCCAAGAAATCCTCACCGAGTCTTTGGGCCTCTTCTTCAAGAGGGTCCTGGCTACGTTAGGGCTGTGTGGCCAATATCGTGACTCAGAGTTTGTCTGCGTGTGGGAGGAGCAAAGCGGAGAACCCGGAGACAACCCAGCAGCAGGCTGGGGAGGGATGGAGACACCACTCAGTATGGCCACCTCGTGGCCCCACCGCGACTACAACGCCTGGCAGTAAGCCCTGGTGGCGGTCACCCATCCCATGTGCCGACCGGGCTCAAGCCTGTTTAGCTGCCAAGATCCGACAAGATCGGGCACACTCGGAGTCGTGTGGGCCCCGCAGGCTTGCCAAATCCCCTTTCCGTGAAATAATGAAAATATACGGAGAGAAAAAAACCTCAGCCGGTGTGGGGGCATAACCAGCGTCAAACATGAAAATAACGTGACAAGCTGTGTGACACTGTAGCAATCATCGTGTTTGCATAATACCTGTTACAAAACCCACGCACATGATACGCTGAACACAGACTGGTGACTCAATGCGGACTAAATGTCTATTGGGGTGACTACCCCTCGCCTCCCCCCCCACCTCTGCCCCACTCGACCCGACGGCACACGAGGGGGCGGGTGGCCAGCAGCACCACGCCAGACGGCCTTTGTCTCACGAGTATCGATGTTTTACACACCGCACCAGGGACTGTACTCGTTTGCTGCTGAGTCGATCTAGAGAAGAGGCCCAGGACCGGTTCAGATAATCGTCACTGGTGTTGACCGTGAGCGGGAATCGAACCCGGGTCGCCAGGTTCATAGCGCAGTGCGCTAACCGCTACACCACCGCTCCCCCGCTGCACAGACCCCACGACACACACGCAGGCACTGGCACGCACACATTGTGGTAACACTGCGCACACTGTCATTAGTATTGGTGAGCGCGTCGTGCCGTGATCTCTGTGCACGTGGAGCCGCGCGGAGACACGAGTCGTCACCGACACTGCTGCCTGCGTAATCCGCGCGAACCCTCCCTGGTGTGCGCGTGTGTGGCTATGTGAATGTGTGTGTGGCTGTGTGAGTGTGTGTGTGGCTATGTGAATGTATGTGTGGCTATGTGAGTGTGTGTGTGGCTGTGTGTGAGTGTGTGTGTGGCTATGTGAATGTGTGTGTGGCTGTGTGTGTGTGTGAGTGTGTGTGGCTGTGTGTGTGGGGAGCGGTAGTGTAGCGGTTAGCGCGCTGCGCTATGAACCTGGCGACTCGGGTTCGATTCCCGCTCACAGCCAACACCAGTGACGAATATCTGAACCGGTCCTGGGCCTCCCCTAGGTCGACTCAGCCTCAAAATCAGTACCTAGTGCGATTTGTAAACATCACCACTGGGGAGACAAAGGCGGCCGGGCGTGGTATTGGCCACCCACCCCCTCGTGCGCCGTGCCGGCCTTCATAGGTGCTCGCTAACAGCACTTGCACAAATAGTCTGTTACAGGCTATACGGAGATCTCTGTCTCTGTGGCTGTTTGGCTGCTTGTGGGAGCGGTAGTGTCGTGGTCAGTGTGCTGCGCTACGAACCCGGCGATGCGAGTTCGATTCCCGCTCGCGGCCAACAACGATTATCTTGATCCAAGATCGACTCAGTCTCAATTGAATACCTAGTGCCTCGTGTGCGGTGCAGGGCCTTCAGAGGAGTTCGCTAACAGCACTTGCCGTAAAAGTCTGATGAAGATATATGGGGGATTTTTGCCTTTTTGTGTGTGAATGTATGTCGAAATTCATAATCAACGTTTTTGGGTTTAGATCGCGTTATTTATAAATGTGTCGTAACCCTCCACCACCCGACACGGCCAATCAGTAATTCTAGCGAATTGCCCGATGATGCTGGATGCAATTACCAGCGAAACTTCGTACTCAAATTGTAAATGTTGTGGCTTCAACACACCGGTGGGCTAAAGCAGTGAACTATTTGTCTTTTGTCAACGTGACACTTTTTTACTGATTGGCCGTGTCGGGTGGTGGAGGGTTACGACACATTTATAAATAACGCGATCTAAACCCAAAAACGTTGATTATGAATAGCATTGGTCGCGAAAGCCTCACACGTGTTAAACTATGTCGAAATTCTTTCTCAGGGTGCGCAGCCAACGTGCTACGCTTGTCTCTGTGTATGTAGCTGATGTGCGCGCACAGTCGCAGAGTAACGTTCGTCTGGGGCCTTCGAGAGCTCCCTCTCGTGGAGGCCCTTTCGCCAGCCACGCAACGAGCAAGCGAGTCGATTTATTCCGGGCAGAGGGCCCATTGAGCTCAGAAGGTCTTTGTCAGTGGCAACCCAGCCAAAGTGGAAGGTAGGTTACACGGGAAAGGTGGGCGCGGGAGGGGGGGGTACAGGGCCCGCGTAGAACAAAAGCACAGACGTTTTGGATAAACATGACTTACACATTCTGATAAACACACCACGGCTATGTACAATGGAAGTCCAGTAAGCGATCCGAAATAGTAAACAATCCAGAGATCGTGCACGGCACCCGTGAGACGAATTCGCGTGAGTGACCGCAGGGGTGCACCTTGAACCGTTTTCCCTGTTTCTAAAACTTGATTAGCCCCCTCCTCCCGTCCCAAGTTTTAATCCATTGACGCAATCAATCCTCACGCTCCCCAAGCAATCTGTGTCTACGTGCTGGTAACAGTAATAATGATGGGGGGAGGGGAACTAAAGGATAGGCCTTTAAAACAAGAGTTAAGATGTTCAAACGCCAAATAGATGCCAAAATCATGTCATCAAGTGTGCATTGTCCACGCATATTTGTGGCAAGACACGCAAGTTTTGGCAAACGTGCGTGCACTTGGTGCCTTGATACAGGTATCTACGTGGTGTTTGAGCATCTTGACACCGGTTTATTGCCTATTCTTATATTTGTTTCATTATTTTGATGCTGACAAAAAAGGTCAAACAGATATGACGTTAATAATGGTCGCTCTCGCTCTCTATGACAAAGACAAAGATTCCCCCGATAGCCTGAACAAACTGTTGGTGCAAGTGCTGTTAGCGAGCACCTATGAAGGCCGGAACGACACGTGAGGGGCTGGGCGGTCAGCACCACGCCCGGCTGCCTGTCTCCCGAGTGGCGATGTTTACACAACGCACCAGGTATTCATTTGAGGCTGAGTCGACCTAGAGGAGGCCCAGAACAGGTTCAGATAATCATCACTGGTGTTGGCCGTGCGCGGGAATCGAACTCGGTCCACCGGGTTCGCAGTGCAGCGCGGTAACTGCTACACTCTCTACATACACACACACACGAAGCGTATTTTTTTCGAATACATTCGCTTGCGCCGTATTACAAATCAGCGGGTAGTGTTGGTATGCGAGCAGGGCACGCGAGTTTTAATGCGGAGGAGTCACTCAGAGGCGGCCTTTTTCGTCTCTTTCTCTCCGAATCGTAAATGAGAGCGAAAAAAAACCCAAAAGGAGCGTTTCGTTCGGGGAGAGCGCTCCTGGCGACGCCTGCGTGGTGGCTGCGTGAGTGCGGAATTCAAAGAGATGGAACATAACATTTAAATAAAAAAACAACAACACTCTACTCACTCGACACGTTCGTCAATAACACCGTGGCCTTAACAAATATGTTATAATAATAATATATAGACGACGTTCCGGGCATTTGGCCCTTCTCCCACGGACCTTCGTAACGCATACAAAATATTTTAATAATAATAATAAAGCGAGTGCCGTTGACTTTCATGTAAACAGATCTCTTTACTTTCATCGAGACCCACTGAACAAACCGACTCTCCAGAATCCGGAGTCGAGCGATGGGAAAACAAAGCGCATTTTTTTTCTCGACGAGACGTGTTGATTCAAGCTACGTTATACAGCACGTCCATAAAACGAGGTGACTTGCGCAAAAAGAAACCCGTGCACTCTGACAGAGGTCAATTAAACGAAGCGACTTGCCGAGCGAGTTCCCTTTCAGATGGAGAGCGAGCGAGCGAGCGGTGGTGTTTATGAAGGTGAACGCCATTCCACCACCATCACCACGGTTCCCTGCGTCCATTCACTGCAGCAACACCTGGCCAAGTCGGTGTCCTTTACGATGATAGTTGTCAGCAATGGTGAAGTATGGTCAAAAGACGCCACCCCCC